GATGGCGACGAGCGTCTGGAACTCCTCGCTGCGGTTCTCGTACTGGATGGAGAGGCGGACGCGGATGGGCTGTGCGCTCTGCTCCAAGGTGGGGTACCCCGACAGCGTGCCCTCGTAGGGGTCCAGCGAAACGCCCTGGGGAAGCGGGTCGGCGGTGGAAAAGAGGAGAAGCGGAGAGTGGTGAGCGGAGGAGGACGGGGACGGGGAAAACGGAGAAGCGTCCGAGCGAGAGAGGGTGGAATTATAGCAAGATTCGGTGGAGTTATAACAAGATTCAGTGGAGTTATAACAAGATTCAGTGGAGTTATAACAAGATTCGGTAGAGTTATAACAAGATTTCTTAGAATTCGATGAAGAATCATAACGAGAATCATAACGAGACACGGGGTCGAGTCGATTGAAGACGGAATCGACGAAGACGGTATCGAGCAGCACGCGATTGGAGAGATAGCGATTGATCCGGAAGGTCAGGATCGGTTCCTCGTATTCAAACACGTTATAAATCGCGTCAAAAAGCGACGACGCAGGAATGGGCGCGAACGCCAGCTCGTCTTCCCGCCTCCACTCCAAATGAATCGCGCGGGACTTCGCGCAGAACGACAGCCACTCGATCCGAACGCGCACGAACTCCGCGCGATTCACAAAAAACCGCTGCGTGTGCTCGAACAAGTTCTTCGTCGCCGTCGGAGACACGATCCACGTGTCCACGATGCGCTCGTCGTCCAACGACACACGCACACGGTCGCATTTCTACCCTTCAGACGGAGAAACCGGGGAAACTTTGTGGGACTCGGAGTCGTAGAGGACGCGGAAGAAATACTGCGAGGAAACGGGGAAATAGAGGTACCCCGTCAGCACGGTGTACATGGTGCGGATCTCCGAAACGCCGTAGGAATAAAAAGGAGCCGAGAGGTCGGTTCTCGATACATTGAAGTCCAGAAATCGGCTCGATTTTTTGATTGTGAGGAAATCGAAGTTTACAGGGTCGTCGAACTCGATCGTGTCTTCGTAGTCACGATCCACTTCGTAGTATTCCGCGTGGAGACCTTGCGGAAGCGTGGCTGCGTTTGATTGGATGCACGAATTCGTACGGGTGAAGTGAAGAGTGATGCTGCTTTGCGTCAAACCTTCGCTGTTTGATCCCTCAATGCGGTAGCGCTGAAGGCCATAGAAGGAACCCGTGTATGTTCCGCCAATACAATTACGTGTGGTGTCGATGGAAAGACCTTGAGGCAATTCCGGCATTATTGAATATTCCGTAAGAATCGTATCACTGTGGATAGGAATACAGTCATAAAACAAATTCTTCACAACGAAACTGTTCTCATCGTCAATCCAAATCATAGAAGGGGAGGCATAAACTATACATTATAATTCGACCTTCATTCACACCTCCAATATAAAGAATAAAGGGACTTTCGACATCACGTGAGGAAACTATTTTGTAAGGCTTCAGCTCCTGACTGTAGTTCATCTCACCATATAGGGTATTGTTTACGAAGTACAATCCAGAAGGAAGTGCAGAAGTGTTTAGTTGAGATCCAAAAGTATCCCAACAATGCACAGGCATAATTTCAGAGTACAAATACGATTCTACACGTCTTGTGTCACATTCAACACAAAGAACAAAAGCAAATTCTAGGATATTAAGTATGTGTACAAAATCCAACCTAAAAGCACAATGAATACAAACTTCAACATCGTTAGAGTGAATGCTTTAGAGACAAAAAATAGCCCTGATTTTTGGAAAAGGAGAGAACAAAATCGAAACACAATTACGAAGTTTTCCAACAAACAAGCAAAAAAGTCAACAATCATTTTGCATTTTATCAAGTGTACAACTACTAATTTAACACAATATTCTAAGGACAAGTCCAATCCCCAGAAGATCCTCTTTTGTTTTTCGACTCATTAATCCGAGGAAATATCGCTACACTTAATTACTCTCCCCTTTCTTACTCGACAAAACCATCGTGTCCGGCATCGAGAAAATCATGTCTGGAGACAGTGCCTACGCCTCAGTTTCCACTTTTCTTACCTACATCAATGCTCATCATTTGAAACTGCTCTTCGAGAAGCTGATCCAGCCTCGGACTCACATACCACATTTCGCCTGACGGCTTCGTCTGCTCCGTTTTGGCGGGTCGATTCGACGGGAGTTTCGCTTCTGGGTTGGCAGAAGTTTGCACTTTTTTGGATCCCGTTTCCACGGTTTCCCCTTCTCGCTTGCTGGGCTGCACGGGAACTCTCCGAGGACCCTGCAGCGCGCGCGGCTGCGATTTGGAGGGAAGCTCGGGGGGAGTTTCCTTGGGAGTTTCCTTGTTGGTCGCTTTGGGAGTTTCAAAAGGAGTTTTGTTTGGAATTTTGCTGAGGGTTTCCTTGGGAGTTTCCTTGGGAGTTTCCTTGGGTGATTCCCTTGAAACCTCCTTCGCCGTTTCCTTTCGAACTTCTTTTCGAATTTCTTTTCGAACTTCTTTTCGAACTTCTTTTCGAACTTCCTTCGGCTGGGTTCGCGCGGGTTCCTTCGTCTTTTTCTCGGGCGTTTCGTTGTCCTCTGTTTTCCCGTGTTCCCCGCGGTGAGCCGAGGCCTTGACGGCGCTCTGCGAGGACACGAACGAGATGAAGGAGCGCTCCGCGGGATTGTCCTGCGGCTTGACGAAGTCGGGGAGCGTGATGTCCTCCGCCAGCTGCGAGAGATTGGAGAGGTCCTTCGCCGCCGCCAACACGCGGGACTCGAGGCCCAGCGGGTGGCGCGAGGCGGGGGAGAGGATTCGCCCCGCGGGAGTGATGGGTTTGGAGGGGGTGGAGAAGAGGAAAGAGCGGGAAAGCTGGTTGCGCTCCTCCTGGCGGCGCTTGGAAGCCTCGGTGCGCTTTTTGAGGTCTTCGACGCGCTGGAGAAGCGCTTGGGCCATGGAGGGAAGGGATTGGGGGGGCGTGTGGGAAGGAGAATCGGTGGAAGGATGGAGGGGGTTGGAGGGAGATGAGTGGTGGGTGAAAGTGAAGGAATGAGATAAAGGCTCAACGTGTTCATTGGGTTCAATGGATTTCGATTCGATGGATTTCTTGGAGTGAAGGGGCTCGAGGAAATGGAGGGAGTGAGAAGAGTGGCTCGCTGAGTGGATCTTTGAATGGCTCGCTGAGTGGATTCTTTCAGGCTCATGCTTGTCCAATGGAGTGGGCTCAGTGGGCTCAATGGATTTTGATTCAGTGGGCTCAATGGGTTTTGATTCAGTGGGCTCAATGGATTCAATGGGTTTTGATTCAATGAGCTTATTGGATTCAATGGGTTTATTGGATTCATTGAGATGAATAGGCTTATTGGATTCATTGAGTTTCGACTCATTGGGTTCATTGGGTTCATTGGGCTCAATAGGTTCAATGGGTTTTGCTTCATTGGATTTTGCTTCAATGGGCTTATTGGGTTCATTGGGTTCATTGGGTTCATTGGGTTCATTGGGTTCAATGGGTTTTTGTTGGACGTTTTCATTTCCTTTGATTTCCTTTATTTCCTTTATCTCCGTTTTCTCCGTTTTCTCCTCTTTTTCTGGCTCCTTCTCCGTTTCCACTTTGGAGAATTCGATTTCTTCCACCGTTCGCTCTTCTTCTTCTTTTTGCTTTTCCTCTTTCGAATCGAATTCAATTCCCTGATTCGGTTTTTCATCCACCCGCGGGGATTTTGGTTCCCCATTTCCCGGATTTCCATCCAATGAAACGCCCAGTTGACCTATGGGATCTCCGCTTGTGGCCTCTAACATAGAATTAACAGGCTCCACAGAGATCGCAAGGGGCTCTTTGTGTTCCAAGTGTTCCAAGTGTTCCAAGTGTGTTGTTTGTTCGATCGATTCGGTTTTTATGTTTTGCTCGTTGATGTCAATTTTGTGTTCTTTGTGTTCTTTGTGTTCCATTTGAATAGTTTTTATCAATTCTTTTCTCGGCGGCGTCGTTCCCAATTCCATTTTCAATTCCTTCGGTTTTTCCTTTTGATCCACGCAGCCAACATTCCATTCCGCCGGTTTCCCCATTGGTTTCTCCAATGGTTTCTCCATTGGTTTCTCCAATGGTTTCTCCAATGGTTTCTCCATTGGTTTCTCCAATGGTTTCTCCATTGGTTTCACCATTGGTTTCTCCAATGGTTTCTCCATTGGTTTCTCCAATGGTTTCTCCATTGGTTTCTCCAATGGTTTCTCCATTGGTTTCCCCATTGGTTTCTCCAATGGTTTCTCCATTGGTTTCTCCAATGGTTTCTCCATTCTCACATTCTCCTTTATTTCCACGTTTCCACCTTCTTTTCGCATCCCGGGAGTTTCTTTCTTCCCCGTTTCACTCGATGAAACTCCCTTCAATTTGTCATCCCATTGGACGGTTATTTCCCTCCTTTGAATCGACGCATTCCCCGCGGTTTTCTTCGACTCCGGTTTTTCCTCCCCATTTCCCGCCATTTTTTGCTTCGCCACTTTGCGAAGCGAATTCGACGGCCTTCCTCGCAGCGAAACTCCCGCACCTTTTGCTTTGATTTCCGCGGTTTTTCCCTCACTCACTGCAGGAACCACAGGAACCGCGGTTATTTTATTGGTTGAAGACAGCGAAATGGGCGGCTTCTTCTCCGTTTTCTCCTTCTTTTCGCGCGTTTTCTTCCATTCATTGTACTGCGCGTCAAGGGTCGAATCTGATTGGCTACCTGCGATTGATATTCGATCTCGATCAACTGATTGCGAAGCTCGTACTTGCGACCCTTCGGCTTCACGCCGAATTTGCGCAGCTCTTTCTTTAAGTCCTGGACGTTGAGACTCTCGATTCGCTTCCGGATTTCTTCAGTACTTCTAGAGATTAAAACGATTTCTTGTTGAACGGACTCGCCCGGGTATTCAGAATCATCTGCTGGTTCTTCGACTTTGGGAGCTTCCGAAGCATTGAATAGATCTGCAGTCTGGGGTGATCGCTTTACATTCTACACAGTCATGCTTTTCAATGCACGCACTTACTTCCACTTGGACTTCGAAAAAGTTTATTACAGGAGACTCTCGTACCTCGTGGTCTTTCACCTAAATCATCAAAACAGATCGTTCGCACAATACACAATCGACAAGCCATCGCTCGATCGCAGAGTAGCGCATATCAATATTGATATTCACCTGGCACACCGCAGTCTTCAATTGAGAACACCAATCCATCATATACACTATACAAACCATCCATAACAACGACATTTGTTCGAATCTCGTTGTTCATCACTTTGTCTTACAAAGTAATTCAAACAAACATTTATTATGATACACGATTTTAACCCAAAAACTAATTCTTAAACTCGAACACAATATTCTTGTTGGTCAGCTTCTTGTAGATGGTGGACAGAGCATCGAGCTTGTTCTCCACCTCCTGCTGTCCCTGGGGTCCCAAGAACACTCTGATCACCTTTCCAGAGCGTCCGTTGATGCTGGTGTGCTTTCCGACGCATTCGCAAGGATACACCAGATCATCAATGATGGCGTCCTGCACAGCCGACACGGTGTGGTTGTGAGGGCGGACACCTCCGAACTTGTGAGAGCGCTTGTAATCCTTGGTCAGAACGGTTCTCTGAGCCACGAACACCACAGGGCGTCCCTCGAACTTCTTCTCCAGCTCAGCGGTCAGGCGAGACTGAATCAGACGGAAGTTCTTGAACAGCTTGTAGGGCACGAACACCACAATAGCTTTCCTGTCTCCAGCGACGGACACCTCCTTCGCAGCAGCCATCTTGAAGGACTTCAGGGGCTGGGCAAGATCCTTGGTCTTCTTGGCAATCTCAGCAATCTCGTTGGCAACGGCGATCTCGAAATCGTCGGCCTTGGTTCCTTCGGGCTTCGCAATCATCTCCATTTTGTTCTTAGAAGAATTAGATATATATATATATTTATTTTTGAGTTTAAGTTTTGATTCCATAGAAATGCAGGGCTCTATTTCGAATCAATTAGGGTTTTGCTTCAAAATGGCCCTATTTCTGTATTATTGTAAGCTTTTCCATGTCATTCTGATAGGGCCATTTCACTACACATTTCCATTTTGGTCAAACAAACAACAACAACCACAAGCAAATATAAACAATCGATTAATTCTCGTTATCAATAATCACCTTCTGCACCTGATCAAAGACATAGTCACGCTGGAAACCGACAGTGGGCTGGATTTGATATCGGAAAGAAATCGTTGCTTCTTTTCCACTACTGGTAAAACCAAATACGCAATCAAACAAGAGAGTAGGATCGTCATTGAACAGAATACCCTTGTTTCTGATCGTACCGTCGAACACGCAGTCCTCCTTGGACATTATAATCTTATCCCACATAATAAGCTCATGCGATTCCTAGAGCTCAACACTTCCTTTTTATTCTACATGATCTCCATCGAAGGAAATCACCACATAGGCGTAGATACTGCGAGTGTTGTAATCCCAGTCTTTGCTCAAATCTGTGCTAAACTCGATTCAATTCAAATACCATAATGGATATTCAGCGAAACCATAGGGAAAATGTATATATCGCGCAGATCAGACATGCTACGCAACTTAGACATTGGTGAACCGATTCTCACATTGAATCTACGGTAGCGTTGTCAAACCGGATGAGCTCTCCTTTGAACGGTTTTGAAGCCTTTCTACACACGTCAGTCCAAAAATGCACAACTCACAAGATAGCATAGAAAACACTGACTGCAGCAAGACAGTACACTGTCGTAAAGAACACGGTGTTGATTCTCGAGTAATAGCTGTGCATCAAAATAGTTTTGTCAAACAAAAAGAACCAAATTACACTTCTTCTTCTTCTTCTTCTACTTCGTCGTCGACTATTTCCGGTATAGAATCCAGCATCTCGCGTGCCTCTTTCTGCACTCCCTATTTCTCACACTCGCGCCAATCACCTCCCACCTCGTCGTTCGCCGCCAGCAGCGCATCGCAGATTCTACGAAACTCTCTGAACTGCTTCCTTTCTTTGTAATACTTGCATAGCGCAATCGCAGGCAAGTACGTATCATCATCGCTAATCACGAACTTCTTCTTCTGCAAGTATCTCCGGTCGAAATACGCCGCTTTCTCCAAGTCTCCCATCTTCCGGTACAGCTGACCCAGCCTGCGACTGCTCCCTCCCTCCGTGTCCCCCAGCGTTTCTGCCAGCAAGAAGCATTCCACCGCACATTGCATGTCGTCGCACGCCAACGCGGCTTCGCCCATCGCAGATCGCAGCTGTGCGTCGTACGGCCGCAGCCGAATCGCCTGCTGGTAGTAATGGCGCGCGATGGTGGGCGCGTGAAGCAGTTCGTGGAGCAATCCGAGATGATAAAGCGACTGAAAATCGCGCGGATTGCATCGCAGCGCGTTCAGCAGCGCGTGGATCGCTTGCGAAGATCGGCCATGCTCCAGAAAGCTACGTGGAAACGGGGAAAGGAGCGTACAGCTGGCCGAGAAGGCCCCAAGCGAGCGAATGATGCGGGTTTTGCCGAACAACGTGCTGGTAAAGCTCCGCGGCCTGCTGGAAAAGTCCCTGCAAGTGGAGCGAAGTGGCGGCGACGAAGCAGGCGGCGAGAGAAGAGGGGTGGAGCCGCTTTGTGGTGTGAGAGAGACAAACTAGTTCCTCTGTGCGTTTCTGTGTGAATCTAGGGAAAAGGGCGGAAGGAAGGAAGCGAACAGAAGACTGGCTTGCAGCTCGCAGCACTCGGGACTGGCGAGATAGGGCTGCAGCGCGCTGAGCGCCTCCTCGAAGTGACCCTGCTGCGCTTTGTAGAGAGAAACCTGCCAGTGGACGAACCACCAGCGAGGGAATTGGGAGGTGAGAAGGGAAGGGAGGTGTGGAGGCAACGAAAGCTAAAAATGGTGGGGGTGAAATAGGGAAACTTCGTTCATATGGTTCGCTAAAGAAATCCAAAAGAGGTTGCGGAAGCAAGTGTCGGGAGTGGAGTTCATGATGTAGAGAAGGTCGGATCGGGTTTTTACGACCTGCAGCAGATCTAGCCAAGCGCTCCAGAAACATGGCAGTCTGTGGAAAAGCAGAACGAAGATCCATACTCCCGGACTGCAGAAACGTAGTGGAGAAGGGCTGCGTGAGGATCGTAAGTGCTTTTCACGTTCCCTAGGATGTAATGGTTGAATGCATCCAGAGTGAGTTCCTTTGAATAGTGGGACAGAATTACCTCCACGTCCTGTTTCTCGAGAGGAGGAGGAACCTCGGGATCCCCCTCTCTGTGTTGTTGATAAAAGGAAAGCAAAGCAGATTCTTTGATGGACTACGAGAAAACCAAAATAGAGCGATCCACCATCAATTTCGCGTAGCTCCACAAAAAGAGAAACGAATAGTTGGAGTCAAACTCTGCCACTGCCTCAATACTACGACAAGCATCCTCGAATCGATGTCTTTCAAATTGCATTCGCGCTAGTGTATGCTCCGAACTCAGATTTCCTAAATGAAAGGCAAAACAAACAACAACGAGGATATCGTTGATAAATATCAATATCTAGATAGGGAAGATCTGTAGGGAGCAGTTTTGAGTACTCTGCAAATTCGCACAACCTAAAAATCGAGGTCCGTGCAAATCGTCACCATTTAGCAGTCGAAAACAGACACTTCTCTTCAAAAAGTTTGATAAGCGATAGAAGCTGCCTCTTCAAGTCCATCAGCTCATGTGAATCAAAACTGTAAAACAAACAAGCCATGGTACAACAATCCCAAACAAAACGCTTCAAAACCAAAGAAAATTTAACAAATCAGGCAAAATTCCTAATCTACATAACAACTAGCACTCGATGAATCTCATCCCCAAAGGAAAGAGAGCAATCCGGATTGTTCCTTCTCTTTCTGCTGCTACCCATAACCATTTCCCTCCATTTCTACCTGAGACAACTCCCATTTCTTTTCTAGCTCTAGATCGAGTTTTGTCCGCAGCCCGTTGATTGTATTCAACAACTCGTTCTCTCTCGTCTACGTCTCACCATCCATCTCGATGCCTACGCGATGCTCCGCTTCCAAGGCATCTACCTTGTGAATGAATTGATCTGTTAATCGTCTATACATGAGAGACAAACAAAAAACAAAACAAGTTGATTTGCTTGGCTTCCTCCAATTGCGAGGTGAGTTCGTTTATTCTTTTATTCAATTCGTCGATCTGTTGTGCGGACTCCTCGTCCGGCTCCGATTCAGGCGGATGGTCTGGCTGGGGAGGACCCAGCGCGGAGGGAGACGGCGAGGCAGGTTGAGGTTCTGTGGATTGTGGATCATTGCGCTCCGTGATGGAGGACTGGTCTGTTTGCTCGAAAGGAACGTTGCTTTCGTTACTTTCAGGACCCTCAGTGATCTCAGGATGCTCAGTATTTTCAGTATTCTCAGTATTCTCACTGCTTCCAGTACTCTCAGTATTCTCAGTATTCTCAGTATTCTCACTGCTTCCAGTACTCTCACTCTGCTCACTCTGCTCACTCTGCTCATTCTGCTTTATTTCACGATCAATCTCCTTTTCAATTTTTAAACTCCTTTCACTTTCACTCTTCTCTAACTGGTTCTCGAGACTCCTTATTCGCTCTTTGCTGATTTCCAAATCTACACCTCACCTCTCTTTCAAAAAGAAAACCCCTCTCCAACTTCGAATTGACCTGCTTCTGCTGAACAAGGATCGCTTTCCAATTCTCTCGCTCCTCCATTACATACTGAGAATTCGATTCACGCTTCATTTGGTAAATTTCAATTCTCCGCTGCTCCAACTCATCAGCCATCAGTTTATACTTCCGTTTCATCTCTTCCTCCTCTTTTTCGATCGTTTTTACATGAACAAGAAGACTATTTATTCTTTCTGCAATTTAAAAAACAACCAACAGATTCAAACCTTCATATTGGATTTTTACCTTCACAAGATGATCGGCTAGCATCTTCACACCAATCGGTGTTTCTGATTCGTAGTCCATTGCTTCAGGATTCTATACAAAATGCGATCCGAACAAATAAAAAAAGATGAACGGAATAATTGACTTGCGAAGCAATTCCAGAAAAATGTCCTATTTCGAATTCCAAAAATTGGCCATTTCTGTTGATTATTCGTTTTGTCAAGCTTTCCTTTCCTGCTGTTGTATCTTTTTGGAATTGTAAGGAATCTCGACTAGAGACGATGAACTCATTGGAAGATCCATGGGAGCTGGGAAAACGGGTGATCATCGACTTATTCCGTCTTTCAGACAATGGCGATATATGTGAGCCGTTGCGAATCGAGAGGAGGTGGTGGGATACAGTTGCCGCGATTAGGAATGAAGTTAGTCAGTCAACAGGAATTCCGCATGAACTGATTGACATTATTTACGAGGGAAGGAAGCTTCCACTGAATTATTCTCTTTATCAGCTTGCAGTCAACAAAAACTACATCAAGTTGTATTTTTATTGCAGATCAACGATTGTCGGCTCGGAGTCATGGATTCAGGTCGTTAGTACAGTCCCCGTCCTGTCGGTAAGTCTTTGTATTTCGGTAATCACAACAGAGCTTCCGAGAAGCTCTATACGATGTGCGGAATGCTTTTTCAGTAGGTATCATACCCGAGCTGGCGTTGTACGGAACGGGAGGAACCTACTTTCTCAAAGATCGCTACAAATGGAATCTTCTTGTATTTAAACCGGAAGATGAAGAGCCTTTTGCTGAGCACAATCCTCGTTCGTCTCCAATTCCTTCCCTCACTCCCAGGCAACTTCCAAGGAGTCACAGGACAGAGTGGTTTTCGGAAAGGGATTCGGTCCGGCGAAGGCTGGAAGCGCGAAGTAGCCGCTTATCTCATCGATCACGGACACATCTTCGCGGTTCCCAGCACCGTCCAGGTTGGTTCCCCATTTAAACTGTTATGCAGGCCCATGTTTGCCACCCCTTCTTCACACAACGACATCCGAAGCTTCGCTTCAAAGTCGGTTCCCTCCAGGAATTCGTGCAAGACGCAGATCTCGTGTCGGATTGGTCCCCTTCCAAATTTAGCGCTTTTGAAGTCCAGAAAATCGCCTTTCTGGACATGTATTTAATGAACACGGATCGAAACGATGCCAATATCATGGTGTGCAAGAAAAGACAAATAACCGCGGACGACGCTTTTCTACTCATTCCTATCGATCACGGCTACACGATGCCTGATCGGTACGAACTCAACGAGTGGAGCTGGTGCTGGCTCGACTGGAAGCAGATGAAACGTCCGTGGGACAACCGAATTGTGGAGTATTTCTGGAATTCCAGAAATCAGGGGTAGATACGCGGCGCAGCTGAACGTGCAGGAAGACGTCCGCCTGCTGAACGAGTCGCTGGGGATTCGCAAGATCTGTCTAATCCTCTTTCGGTAGTATTTTTGGAATTCCGTAAATCCAGGATCAGCGGTTTGGTGCTGAAGATTGGGATTCAGCACGGTTTGGTTCCCTACGACATCGCCTCGATGTACATTCGGCGCGATTCGAGTCCGGACGCTCCCTGCGCGCTGGAGAAGCTGGTTCAGGAGTGTGTGGAGAAGCTGCACGTGCTGGAGTTGCTTCAGAAGATGGGGAAGACGCAGGAGAATGTGCTGAGTCGCTCGCTGAGCACGCGGCTGGTGGACGAGGCGGAGGAATCGGAGGAATCGGAGGAGGAAAAGGCGGAGCGAAAGCGGTCGGGGAGCATAAGTCAGCGGAATTTGTCGTTCCAGTCGATGGCTTCGATCGGGTATTCGAAGGAACCGTATCGATTCCCGGAGGTAGGAATGAAGAGGGAGAGAGAGAAAGTAATGGGTAGGATGTGGAGTTTAAGTTGGTGCACGATAAGGAGTATCGACAGATGTTTTTTGTAGGAAGGAAGGAGGGAGGAGGTGATGCGTAGAACTTGTTGGAGGAGGGATTGGCGTTTTGGATGGTGAATGTGATGCACAAACGCGTGTATGATGCTGGAATTTTTGTGTGATCCTACGTGTTTTTGGACGCAGAAAGATGACAGAAGGAAGAAGAAGAAGAAGAAGAATAGATAGAATGCTGTGTGTGTTATATTTTGTGTTTGTATCAAGAAAGAACACAAGGTAAGGAAAGAATGAATGGAATACCAGCGCGTACAATGTTGTGAATTGAATTCATAACACTTGGGATTTTGTTTGAGTAAAAAACAGAGAACAGATGGAAAAGCTTTTCAAGAAGCAGAATCTGGATCAAGACCACACTACTCAAATAATCCATGTCGTAGAACGTGAAAAGGATTTGATTTCGAATCACAGTGCAGACTAAAACAATCTTTTCACCTGATTTCAAAATGACGGTTGACTTGTTTGACAAGAAGGGACGACGATCGTCCAGCCAGATCGATTTTTCACATGCAGATGAAACGGTGAGTGTGGAGACCACACGTCGAAAGCCAAACAAACACCGCTTCGTTATCTGAATCACACAGGATGACTCTGCGTGTTTCATCTCGACTCTGCAACACTCAATCGGCCTTTTCTACGCTTAGCAAACACTCCGATACTAGCTACTCGTTGGCGTCTGGGTGGAATGGTGATGAAGGAATACCGATTGTCGCTCACCTTCATCAACATGTGCTGAATAAGGCGCAGCTGAGGCTCTCCCGTTTTAGCATTGATGGGAACCGTTTTCGTTTTATGAAATACAGCCGGGAAGGGTTTTTCCAGAGAAAATGTGGAAGTGCAGAAATAGGCTTTCAGAGGGGTGAAAAAGCGTATGGATATCGTACTATTGCTCGTCTGGCTCCATTCTGCAAAGCACTACCATAGAACGAACAAGAAATTATGCACCTTGTATCCATACATCCTAGCAGAATCATATTCAGATAATAAAGAAGACATTGGACCCACATTCTACGAAAACCATCCCCGAGTGATTATGATGCATTTGGCATCCGTTATATGGGTATTTCTTCATCATACGATCTAATAGGGATTCATCCCATTTCTGTAGAAATGCACACACGCAGCTGCTTTAATTCCCGTAAAATGAATGGTACTGCATTGCCTCTGCTCTCTGACAAAAATAAAAGTGGAATGGAACTTTGAAGATCGAGTTAACAAAAAACCAATCAAAATCATTCATTTTATCCTCTCTACATTTTTATCCAAACAAGATGGCAGAGGTCACAGTCAATGACGAGTCTTCTCTTGTAAGATGCAAGCGATTGATTGCTAACCATTGTAGAATACCCAGCTGATTCAGCCGCAAAAGTCTATTCCGTTTTGGAAGGGGTGATTCGTAGGAAAACATTCAAGCAACGCTATGAGGAATTCAAGAACTCGAACATTAAATCGTTATTGAATTCCGTTCGCTGGTCCAATTTCATGGCTTCAACTGTTACCTTTATTTTTTTGATATTTAACTTCATCAACAAAATCTTTAGCCTTGACGTGAGCGGTGCTATTATTTCTGGTTTTTGTGTCATCTTCACCGGAATTCTCTCCCTTTACGAGTTGCACATGAAGAGACTCAACAGGACGATCCGAAGAAATTTTGGCTTCCTGTTCACTTACATTGGCCGCGCCATCTTCGTGTTCTTGTATCCTTGTGTCCTTTCGCTTTCACTGTAGTATTGCTACAATTTTGTTGTCCCTATGGAATCTCATTACTATTATTATGGCCATCGTTTTCTTTGTCTTAGCATTTAACAATATTATTGTGATCGTCTTCCATCCTGCGTTTAGTACGAAGGAGATCAAGCTCTATGACGATCCGACTATGATTTATAGTTCGGGAGATAATGTACGTCTCTGTCTTTTGGCGATGACAACTAGGAAATCAAGAGCTACATGGTCAAGAATCCCGAGCTCGCACAGAAGGTTCTTTTGGGAGCGGCCAAACTATCTTCCCAGTTCACTGTTTGTTTGAAATGAGTCGAGAAGCGTTCGCTTTGCCGAAATACTTTAATACAAACATCGACGTGGACAGTAATCCGCAGTCTGCAATGGAATACTTGTTTCAAGTGAGGAAGGAAGCAGAAGCGATGCCAAGCATCTATTCGATTGCAAATGATGTAGTGCAACACGAGATGAGTGTAATCATAGACAGAAGGGAACGATGTACCCGAATCAAATCAAGATCCTGTTTCTGAAGTATTTATCAAATTATATCGATTACTGTTGTAGAAGGGTGATGGTTTTGACGAAGATTGGGTAGAGAGTGTGGTTCAGGACTTTACCCAAGTCCGAAAAGTATTTATTTTTGTCAAATTGAACGAGCAGATGATTGAAAGAAAAAAGAAAGAGGGAGTCGAGACATCTGTCACTTTTCCACATGTGAACGATGAAAATGGCTGGGAATATTACTGCTTCCAGAAGCGTGATGAGAAGAATGCACTAGAGCCATTGAAGAAGCATTGCAAGTACCCAGTAGCCAGCGAGTTAATCCAACTCGACTATGTACAAATCGTTGTTGTTGTGTTTATCTAAAAGGTAACATTAAACACTGTTTTAAACTACCACTATGAGTGGATGTTGTTTGACGAGAGTTCCATTACGTTGCCATGTGGTTGGTTCTCTAATTTTTAGCAAGGATGTTTGCGTGTGGCTGTATTGCTTGCTCGCCTTTGTCGAGATGCCATTGAGTTCGGGTGTGTGTGGTACGATTCGAGGCATTTACCGCCGATTATCGGAGTATTCAATCGACAACGAAGAGTTGCAAACCTGTGTGGATGTTGTAAAAGTAATCTGTTCGCGGTTTTTCAATCAAAAGTTTTGAGTTGTTTGAGTAAAACGTGTGATGTGATCATAAACACATCAATCATGCAGCTGTTCGTAGAAGGAATCGTTTTTTGAATTGAAAATTATGAATACATTCAAGAGTGGACTTTCAATTTATCGTGTTAGCTATTCATTTGAGATTGTCTTCTTTAGATTTCCATATCGCACTCTATTTCAGTTCATTTCTATATTTACCCACTTGTGTTATTCTCATCACCTGTTTTTATATTCGAATCAATTATTCATCTTCTCATCTCATCCCATTCCATTTCATCCCATTTCATTTCATTTCTTCCAACAAACAATTCCACACATCCTCATCCTTCCTTCCTTTCCCTCACTTCTCTCTCTTTACCGCATCCTTCGTCAGCACATCGATCGTCCGGCTATTCACATACAGCATCGTGTCCTCCACGCGCACTCCGAACTCCCTCAGCTCCTCCGGCACTTCCTCGCCCCCATCGAACTACGCCTCACTTCCCTCCTCCGCTCCCACATAAACTCCAGGCTCCACGCAGAACGACACGCCCGCCGCCAGCGGCGTGCTGCAGCTGATCGTCGGCGTGTCGATGTTGTCCAGCCCGATGTAGTGCCCGATGTAGTGCGGAAAATACTTGAAATACAGTTTTTGTTCCACCACCGTGCTACAAAATACCCCCGATTTCTGGAATTACTCTAAACTGCTCGATTTCAAAACGCCCAGATCGATGAGGAGTTTCGAAATTGAGCGAACCGCGGTTAAGTGGAGGTCCTGGATCGAACTACGTGGAAACGAAACGTGGAAACCACCAGCTGGCTTCGGTTCGCAGAAGCTTCAGCAACTCCTCGTAAATCTCATTGATTCCCGCGGTGACATCGCGTTTGGCGGAATTGGCGGCTTTCTGATCTCCCGCGAAAAGCACGCGCGCCATATCGCTCTGATAACCGTTCATCGAAACCCCGCAGTCGATGAGAACGTTCTAGAAGGTTAGGATTTTCGTGTTTCGTTCGCACGTCGCCCGGATTGATCAGACAATCGTTGTTGTGATATTCTACGAACTGGCTGTTCGAACCGCTCGCAATCACCGTGGGGAAGGAAATGCCCTCCGCACCTCGCAGCTTGACGTTGTACTCGAAGGTGGTGCTGAGACGGTTTTCGATTCCGATGACTAGGATGGAGGAATAACCGCGGGACTACGTGGAAGAGACACCATTTCATTAAAAGCGTTTGTACAGATCGAGGACGAGTAACGGAGCTGTTTTTGCTCGTTTAGGGATTTTACCCACCGAATTTTGTCGAGTTCAGGGAGAAGCGAACTGCATGAAACGGAATTGCAATGGATACCTAATCTCGAGGTTGGAGTGGTCTGAAAGGGCTGCTTGGAAGGATTTGTGAAGACTGTGATCAGGAGTGGTGTACGAATAAATCGCTTTTGCATCACTCAGAATGGAGGGAAGCTCGGTCGGAATCTCCGACACATCGTACACTTCCGTCATCCCGAAAAACTGCTTTGCATCCTCCGGAAGCAAGCCAGGAGCCACTTGGCCGATTTTTGAACTACCGTGAACCAACTCTAGCCAACGGTTACTCCGACTGACTCTTCATAAAGAGACTACGCCGAACCTCGTTCCGCTGGAGCTTTTGAAGGACCAAGAGGAAGCCAGGTTGATCAATGCCGCATAAGTAGTGAAAACTGGAGTTTTGTTTGTATGGATACGGAATATTCCACGATTGATACTTTTGAGAAGAGGAAGCCACCACCACCGCACTACCCATAGGTAAGCGCGATAACAGGAAAAGCTGGCGGTCTTCGTACCTATTTTTAAACAAGGAGAAAGCGGAAACTCCTTCAAAGAAAAGCCGGGAGTAAGATCGTCGTTATCGATGAGATGACGGTGCGTTTGGAATATAGGCTTGAAGTGAATCACAAAATCAACATGCAACTTGCCCCATGTGGTGGTAATTCGAAAACCCGCGAAGAAGCGGACGGCTCAGTCCCGTCGCCAATTTCTCAACGTTCTTGGCGTTCATTCCTTTCCATTCAGCGAGTTTTTGGAAAAATGGGAAATAGAGGGAATTCCAATTTTCCTTTTCGTTTTCATAGGATGCTCGAGACCTATGAATCGAGACTCGCTGAGGATTTTCTGAGGAACTCGATAGGAATCATAAATAATGGAAGCACTTGCTGTACGTTTGCGAGTAGATTTGACTTAACTGCAGCGGCTTGTGGACTCGTATCGAACGAACGGTATGTATCGAATTGTTGCTTGCAGATCCGGTGTTCCGATTGCGCCCAAATGGTAGGCTCGAATGCATTTTGTTATTTTAGGACAATACATGTGACCGATGTGTTGCTATCGGAGGCCAATATGTTAGAGAAGAAGTAGGATCGGTGATCTGTGTGAAAGTGAGATTTTGATTCATGGGATTGTGGAATTTGTCATCAAAAACTACAACAAGGGATATATTGACGGTAGTTTCCTCGCTCCAAACGACTGCGTATGTTTGATGCTCCTCTATGTCCCTCAGAAATATCGCCGCTTGGCTCTCTTCTGTACGAAAATACTCGGCCTCCCACTCGCAGTATTGATGGGCCAAATCTTTCATCTAGTGTTTCAAAAACATCGAACAAATCATCACGCTTCTTCCCAAATACTGCTTCAGCTGTCTCCTCATGGATACCAAATGGAACCAATTCACCAAATACCTCGACTTCATCAACTACATGCTCACCTTTACCGCCCAGCCAGGCGAAGAGCAACTCCACACTCTGTCCACTCCAGAATTCGTAGCTTTTTTATCTCCCTCGATCCCCATCTACGACCCTCTCGATCTCAGCGGCATTGGCACTCTCTACAACGTTCACGGCGATGTGTATCGCGGCGAACTGCAGATGGGTCTTCCGCATGGCAGCGGAACGCTTCTCTATCACAATGGCTGCTACTGGAAGGGCCGCTGGGAAAACGGAAAGCGCTCAGGGTCCGGGGAGTATCATTATGGGAAGGATGTGTGGCAGGGAGGCGTGTGGCGGAACAATAAGCGAGTGCAGTGGACGAATCTGCACTTGAAGAGTTCGATTTACTCGAATTCGAGAGGTTTGTTCGACTCGGAGAAAGGCTGGTTTCCCTTCGTGTTCGACCGAGAAAAGAATTTGCGTTTGTTTCGATTCGTTTGTTGAAAAATAGTGGTGGATGACAGAGATGTGGAGTTCATGAACGGCTTTATTCAAAACGTTCGCTTCCTCCCCACGCTCTTCTCCTCTGCCTGCCAATTACACACTCTAGTTTGCGAGAGTTCGCTCTCCGCCAGCGCCACGACGCAGCTTTTAGACGTTCTCAGCTTCATTCCTTCTCTTCGCAACGTCACTCTCCACAGTTGCTCTGTTTCTCCTTCGAATGACGCGCAGACGACGAGTTGGAAGCCTTGGTCATCGGAGAAAACGCGCTGAAGCAGATCACATGGCTTCGAATCGAGTGTAGGCGGAGAACCGCGGGGATCGAACGATAGATATGCCTCGATTGGCGCGGATCCAGGTCGGACGGTTCTCCTGCTCGTCGATTGTGACGTTTTCTTTGCGGAATTTGCCGCGGTTGGAGTACGTGGACATCGGGTTGAACGCATTCTCCGCGGGGGATTGCCGCTTCCCCTTCTGTAGGGATGGAGGGACACTGCGAGGTAGCGATCGATCACGTGTCTTCGAACTTTTCGTCTTACAAAAAACAGCGCAAACGCTTGGAATTCGAAGATCTTCCGAGCTTGGTTTCCATCTTGTTCGACAACGGATCGTTCATGGAGACGTCGATTTTCACCCTTTTCAGTCCTCTCGACGCCTCCTTCTTCACACACAGACGTTCCTCTCCTCACAGACCTGCTCATCGGAAACGATGAGAACATGTTCAATTCGTACTCGTTCTACTGCGCCTCCGAAATGCAAATCGAACACTTGCCCGCGCTCCAAACACTCGATTTTGGCTGCTTCGCCTTCTTTCAAACCACGCATTTCACCTGCTCCGATCTACCCTCGCTGATTTCGCTGTCCTTCGGCGTTTCCTCCTTCAATCGACTCACCGAACTCACCCTATTTCAGCTCCAAAGCCTTCAATCCCTCGCGATCGGCTCGAATTGCATGAACAGCCTTCCCCTTTTTTCGTTGTCTCGTTTTCATTTCGTTCATTTGCGTTAATCAGATTGCCCGATGCTCGATCGCCTCGCTGTGGGATCCCACAGCTTCAAGCACACCGAGGCAATACTGCTGGAGGATCTGCCAGAACTGCACACGGTGACGGTGGGCGATCAAAGCTTCGCGCGAGCCACCAAATTGACGGTGAATGATGTGCCGCGAGTGTTTGTGTTTACTCTCGGGGAGAAATCGATGAAGACGTTGCAGAATGTGATGTGTAAAAGTGAATGGTGCAAGTTTGGATGAAAGGTAGATGTGTCTGGAGTCATTCAAGACTTGTTTTTATAGTTTTGTGTTTACGTGTTTTTGTTGGAAACGCAGATTACTTAGCGTATGGAAGAAAGCATGCTGCCAAAGATAACCGCTCTCGCTTCCTCTCGAATCAGAGATTTGCTGCAACCCGTCCGCGGAGTCGTATTCGATGTGGACGGAACGATGACTGTTCCAGGTATCACATGAACAGCAAGGATCCTAGCGTTGTAGGGTTGATCAACTTTAAGCGCATGAGAGAACGTGCCAAGGTTCCAGATGGGAAGGATATCTTTCCGTATGTCCGCTCCCACTACAAGGGAGAGGAATATGAGAAGGCAATGCAGGCGATCGAGGAGGAGGAATACATCGCGCAACAAAACGTGGAACTGCAGAAGAGTGAATTCGTGCAATCATTTCCATGTAGATGCAGACGAGCTTGTAAAACTGCTCAATGCAAAGGGCATCAAAGTGGGTCTTCTGACGCGGAATGGCAGAAAATCGATGGAGCACACTGTTTCGCTGTTTACAGGGAAGATCGATCTCGCCTACTGCAGAGATATCCAGCCTTCGAAGCCGCACATCGATCCGTTTATTCAAATAAGCAAAGAATGGGGAATTCCGTGTGAAAATCTCCTTCTCGCGGGAGATCATCTTGACGATTTCATTGCGTCGATCAGTTGGTACTGTGTTTTTTCTGCTCACCGATAGCACTGCACTCGCGCTCGTGTTATGTACGTTCGCAGGGAACGAAGCTGTCACACACACAGCAGACTGTACAAGATGGACTTTCTCTCAAGAACTGTCAACAAACACCGAAGTACATAGAAGAGTACAAGAAGACGCACCAGTTCTATATTCCGGACTTGGTGGTGGAATCGATCTCGGAATTGTATCAAGCATGGAAGGAACTTTAGAAGAATGAGTGTTTGTTCTTAGACATTTTTATAAAAACTTATGAGCGAAGTCAGAGCTGAAGTACTTTCTTTGCAATTGCTAGACATGGTAGAATCTAAAGGAGGAAGGAAATGAATCACTGAGAAGGGGAAATTACAACAAGGCCATTTCCCTCTATACCCGTGTATTTTGTTTTTTGTTTTTGATTTATATCGCTAGGCAATCGAATTGGATTGTTACAATCCCAAGTTATACAGTAATCGCTGTACAGCCTACCTTTACCTCCATGAATTCGAAAGCGCGTTGCAAGATGCAAAGAAATGTGTTTCCCTTGATCCGGATTGGGGGAAGGGACATGTACAGATGGGAAGTTGCTACAGCAGCCTTCACCAATACAAAGAAGCAATTGAGGAGTACAAGAAGGGTAGGATTCATTCTGCCTCCTCTTACGATAAGCCCTTCCTCTCGTTGACAATTCTTCTGTGATTGAGAATCTCATTAAAAATGTTCCACGAGTCTAGATCTTTTTAATCACATTCAGGTCGAATCAAAAATCCAGCAAAACTCAATATCTTCGCTTCTGTTCGGAGATGCGACTCAAATTCTTTACACCCTACAGAACTTCCTCGTTCTTCTTCTCTTCTTTTGCCAGGTTCGTCTTGGCTTCCTCGCCTCATGCACTAGCTGGGCCAACTCCTTCCGTTCGGAAGAAGTTTCCAAATGCGGTGCTCTTCCCTTTTCTTGAGCTGCTACACCTGTGTATTGCTTATCCACGTTTATCTAACATTCGGCCGTCCTTCATTGAACATGGAAGTAGGCAATAATAAAATCTGAATTACGAAAGTACTTTTCCCGCGTTCTTCGTGACTCTCTTGTGTGCTATGTGGTTCCCTATTGGATCTTCAACCACTCTCCGTACATCTCGATGGTTCGGATGCTCATTCTTTTCAACCAAATCATTCCGTTCTTTGAATTCATCTACAGCCGGATCCTTGTTCCCTTGCTTCCATCCGTCGCGAAGTTGCATTCCCGTTGTACTTTCATGTGTAGAAAGGCGGAAACTGTGATGAACCAGACCATGCAGCGCATGTTGGGCGATGCGTGGACATCGCGGAATCCCACCGAGAAGCGATATATTCTAACGGAAATCGTGGAGATGGGGAACGGTTCGATGGAAATCATGCTGCTCTTGGTGAGTGTGTTAATGATCCGAGGACTGAAGGGAATCATGATGGTGCTGCTGACTTTCCAGTACCTGATGTTCCGTGTGAGTTCAAACACATACGTGGAGGTAGGAGTGTCGGAGGAGGAATAGCAAGCGGTAGAGGGTTGTTCGACAGTTTGACACATCGATGAATCAGTTGGTATATCATCCGAGGTGTCCTTTATTCATCCGTTGGGTATTGGGGGATAGAGTGATGCGTAGGGAATCTTTATTTGAAAATACGGGGGTTTGTAATCCAGAGATATTATTCAAGAAGTAGAGTTTTGTCTGTTTGTTTGACTCGCTTTGTTTGGGTGGTGGAGGATGCCTGTTATTGTCCAACAGAACAGGAAAAAGGGGGTTCGGATGCAACTGAAGCGTACAGAAAGCAGTAGTTGCTCCATGTTTTTTATTTACTTGGCTCTGATGGCAGCTCCAGTAGTATCCGCTCTACTAGCTCTAAGGACGTATTTAACGTTGGATGAGAATAGTGACTTTACCTATTATATTATTACTGGTAAGTTGCTTCTATGACGATTTCTGATGCATAGCAATAACGAACGTTACGAACTCAACGACTCTATCGTAGATGGATGAAGTGGTGATACCAAATCGTTTTCGTGGTGTTCTATCTATCATCGTTCTGGATATATACATTTTCTTTATATAGTTTAAGGGTGTTTGCTTTTTCTCTGTTTTTGCCTGTTTGTTTGAAAGGGTGATGTGTATACATCGACTGCGGTTTTCGATCACTGGATTCGTCACACCCAATTCCTCATTCCATGTTCCATCAGTTGTCCTTTTTCAGCAAGAAGGCATCCTCTGCACTGCATTGCTTTTGCAGAATGTACCGCCCTGTTGGAATTGTGGGATTGCCCAATGTCGGAAAATCGACACTCTTCAACGCTTTAACAAAATCAGAGTTGGCAGCCATGGCAAATTATCCGTTTTGCACAATCGATCCCAATAAAGCCAATATCCTTGCTAAACGCGTCCACAGCTCATCCTTAACTCCCAATTGTTTCTATTCCAGACGCGAAATTGGACAAATTAGCTTCCATCTGTCAGTCGGAAAGAACTGTGTACGATGAGATGCAGTTCATCGATGTAGCAGGGTTAATCAAGGGTGCTCATAAAGGAGAGGGGTTAGGAAACCAGTTTCTCTCTACAATTCGTCAAGTTAGTGTGATTCTCCATGTGGTGCGGTGTTTTGAGAATCCTGATATCATTCACGTAAATAACCACATTGACCCTATCAATGGTATCTATTTTTTATGCTGTGGTAATTGGCCTAGATATTGAAACGATCCGAATGGAACTTCAGCTGGCCGATTTGTCGCAACTGGAGAAGCAGAAAGAAAAGCTGACTTCCAAAAGTCGCAGCTCCAACGCCCCGCAACTCCGAGCCACGCTGGACATCGTGAATCGGTGCATTGAGCAACTCAACCAAGACAAAAGCCCTGCATCGATTGAATGGGAGAAGGAAGAACTCCCAATCTTCCACTCGTTGCAGCTACTCACAGCCATCCCTCCCTTGTACATTTTGAACACAGATAGCGATTCGGCAGCGAAGGGAAATAAATACACAGAGGAAGTCAAGAAATACATAGGAGAGCAAAACTGCCTCGTGTTGTCTGCCCAGTTAGAACAGGAGAGCATTTTGTTTGGCGACAGTGCTTCCCAACTGGAGTATTTGGAGCAGTTCGGAATCCACGAGAGCGCGCTGAATAACGTCGTTTCAGCGTGCAGCAAGCTGCTCGGTCTCTGCACGTTCTACACGGTGGGCAAAAATGAGGCTCGTGCATGGCACACGGAGAAAGGCTCCACAGTGCAGGAAGCAGGTGGACGAATCCACTCCGATTTCGTTTCCAAGTTCATCAAAGCAGAAGTAATGCACTATAATGACTATGTGTCGCTCAAAGGAGAGGAAAACTGTAGAAAGGCGGGGAAGTTGTATGTGGAAGGACCTTCCTACATTTGCCAAGACGGGGATATTTTGTTCTACCATATTCGGAAGTTGCCTGTTTGTTTTCCAAAGAAGATTACGATGATCACAAGTCTGGTAGTTTCAGCAGCATTTTTATGATAATCATAGATGATGGTACAGTTCGAATATGTCTCATAATTATCGAATATAAAACGTAGATATTTGCTTCGTTTGGTGAGAAATAGATGGTTTGCAAGAATTGTGGTGAAGAGGGACACATAGCTAGAGATTGTCCCAAGGGTAAGTTTCTTTTTCGAACGGTAAACTGAAGAAAAGGTGTGCTTCATTTGCAAGAAGCCTGGTCATATGTCCAACAACTGCCCAGAGAATCCCAACCCTACTCCTCAGAAGCCGTAAGTTTGTATCCGTTTCTTCTTATTGCAGTAAGAGCTTCCGCCCCAACCGTAGAAATCCTCGTAATGTCAATCGCCGTTGCACTATTTGCAACGAGACTGGACACACGGATGCTAATTGTCCTCATAAAGATTCTGCTATCGGTATCCCCGAGAACGCAGGATCTGCGCCTGCGCCCGCTGCTGAGCAAGTCGCTGAGCCCGCTCCTGCTGCTCCTGCTGCCCCTGCTGCCCCTGCTGCTCCTGCTGCTGAGGCTACGGAGGCTGCCGCTCCTAGGTTCGTTTTGATTTTTTTGCATAACCCGCAGCGAGAACTCCGCTGCCGACCAGATCATTTGCCGCGCCTGCCACAAGCCGGGACACATTGCTCGTAATTGCCCCGAGCGACCTCCTCGTGCGGAGAGACGTGAAGGGTAGTCGTCAAAACCCAAGCTAAAGCGTAGAGCGCGTCCTCGCCGCTTCCGCCGCTTCGTGCCGTACAATACTTGCTACCGCTGCCTGCAGCCCGGCCATTTAGCGAGAGACTGCCAGAACGAGATCGTGTGCAGCCGCTGCGAGCAGCCCGGACACAAGGCGCGCGAGTGCAAGAATGAACCTGTATGCTACCGATGCAAGCAGAGCGGACACATTTCGAGCGCATGCCCGAATCCGATTGTGTGCTATAAGTGCGGACAGCCTGGACATAAGAGAAGCGAGTGCACGCAGGCTTAATCTTGTTTCGATTTGTTTGTTGGACAATGAACGACTCGGTATTGCAGGGGAAATGACTTGTAAGGTAGACGTTGGTCGCTGTGATTGGGGCTGCGGGCGTCGGGAAGACATGTCTGCTGGATTTCTTAGAGGGGCGGTCTTTCTCTGCGAACACCGAGCAGGATCACGAAATCCGACAACGGGTCATTTATTTTACTGCCAAGAATCAAAACCAGCCCTTTCGTTTCTGGGACATTTGCGGAGAACGTATCTTGCATTTTCCGCAAACTTAAAGCGTAGTATCTCCGCTAGAACGTTCGCGCCAATACTTGATGCACAGTCAAATTATATTGCTCTGCTACAGCATCAATTCATTTGTCCGCTATCTGTTTTCGCTATGAGTGTAGGCATCCTATGAGTACATCACCAACTTGTGGGTCGACATTCGAAAGTGTTGTATTAACAATCCAAACATGGTGTTTTTCCTACTAGGACTCAAGAAGGACATGGAGGATGAGCGAGAGGTGTCGATTCCCGTAGAGCTTTGTTATTCTTGCGATCTAGGAAGCTCGTCGTTTCGCCACAATCAACAACATGCAGTTCACAGAGTTGTCTCTCGTTGTGGGGCGAGACAGCACCATGTTTAAAGAGCAGTTAGCCACGATTCTGACTCTAACGCGATCCATTCGACTGAACCTGCTGATCCAGGCTTGTTCCCAGCATCTCTACAGACGGATTCTAAAGGAGGAATCAGGAAATCCGGAGGCGTTGAAGAAGTTGCAGGAGCAGTTGAGGCAGAATCCGTATGAAGCTAAAGTAGTGATGGAGGACGCGTTTCATGTAGTACTATAAACTGACAAAAAGGGAGCTGGAGGATGAAGTAGAGCGGTTAAAGAAATTGTACCTTAGTCTATAATTCATTGGGTTCATGTTTTCGAAAAACAGTACGGATATTGTGTTGATCGGAGAGCCATATCGATCAGAGGAGAAATTCACGCTTGTTGACAGCAAAATTGGTGGTTTGCCTGTTTGGGTCTGAATTGGCGTGTAACGAATAGGTCTGGCAAACTGAAGAGCCGGAGGGATATCCGTTCCACTGTTCTGTGTGTGGAAAGGAAATGTGTTTGTTAATGCAGGTATTCGTGGTTTTTTAAGATGTCGCTTAGGTTTATGAGCCGACTTCTGCTCTGGATCGTGTTCTCTATGTGTTTTGTTGTAAATCGTCGAGTTGCCAGCTTTCTCCGCAAGGGTAGCACTGGGATTTTGACTCAATGTGCAGTTGGCGTTGTATTCGTCAGCAAACTGCTGTTCAAGAGGAGGACGTGAAAGAGGAGGAAGTGAAACCTGCTGCAAAGCCTGCTATTTCAACAGGGCTTTCGTGGGATTTTGGCTCTTCTTCGACTGGATCTGCGTTGTCTTTTAGTTTTGGACCGACTGCATCGTCGAATGTCTCTACAAAGTCCACCAGCTCGGCATCTGTTTCTGCGAACGCCGATTTGCTGAGCCTTTTATCGAAAATGGAGAAGAAAACGGGAACTACCTCCGATTCGCAAGCCTTCTCCGCACCGAATCCCTCCGTTCCATCGAATTCGCAGAGCTCGTTCCAATCGAAATCCTCCAAATCGAAGACCAAGTCCCCATCGAAGGCCGCCTCCGCGGACCAAACCTCGCACCCCCAAGTCCCCGAATTGTTCATCGACGTTTTCCTTTGCTTGTTCTCCGCATAACTCGCAGATCTTCGATGAGCCCGAAGCGAAAGCCGCGAGTCACAAGCCGGGCAACGCGAAGAAAGCGAGCGAGCTGACGGTGGAGCGAGGCGAGGGCGAACTGTACGACCACGACAAGAAGATGTCGCGTCTGTTAAAGTTCCAATCGACCATCCAGCGATGTCCTTCGCAGGTGGTGAGGTAGAGAGAGAGAGGACACCATGAGGGGTAGAATCGCGTATCCGAACGGCCAGCCGCTTTTCCCCAGCACCGCGCAGTTGCCCGCGATTCCTCGCTGCGAGTGCGGCGCTGCGCGCGTGTTCGAGTTGCAGATTCTGCCTACGGTTTTGTCGTTCCTGCCGGCGGACGAGTCTGTCTCGCTGGAGTCGCTGACGAACGAGGAATGGTCCTCCGTGCTGCTTTACACCTGTGCGAATCACTGCCATCGCGGTGATTCTGCCGCTGACGAAACCGTTGTGGTCTTGCCGCCTTTATAATTCCAATACCAATTCTAATTCCAATACTAATACCAATTCCAATACCAATCCGTCCTTATCAACACGCAAATAAATCACACTCATGCTATTCCTCTACATACCCTTCTCTTCTTCTTTCTCCTGTTTGTAACAAACACACAAATCCTTCTGAGCCAGCTCCTCAAAGCGGCGAATCGACGCCTCCACCTTCTCCATCTCATCCCGCAGTTCGTTCAGCTTCTTGGCGTCCCGCGCCTTGATCTCCTCGGGCACCTTCACGTACGCCTCCACGTTCATCTTGCCCTCCAGCTTCTCCTTGCGACCCCGGATATCCCGCAGCTGCGTCTCCAGCTTCTTCAGCTCCTGCGCGAAGTCCACGAGTCCCTGCAGGTTCACCAGCACCGTCACCTTCGGGTTCACGTGCTTCACCGCGCAGCTGTGCGGGAACGACGCCTCCTGCGACACCAGCACTTCGCCTGCCTGCGTCAGCGTCTTGAAATCGCTCGCCAGGCGCGACAGCACCGCGAAGGTCTCCTCATCGGCCGCGGCGAGATAGAACGTGGGGTTGTTCTTCCGCGTGAGGTTGTAGTCGCTCTTCAACGAGCGAGCCTCGTGCACCAGGCTGTCCAGCAGCTCCATCTCCGCCTCCAGCGTGGGGTTGGTCCAGGCGGCGTTCTCGACGGGGTACGTGCACAGCATGATCGACTCGGGGTAGTGGAAGCCGGGGCGAGCGGTCACGCGCTGCCAGAGCTCCTCGGTGATGAAGGGCATCAGCGGGTGGAGCAGACGCAGACCCTGCTCGAGACAGATGTACAGCGTGAGCTGGGCCTTCTTCTTGGCCTCGGCGTCGGTGCCGTTGATGACCGGCTTGATCATCTCCAGGTAGCGATCGCAGAGCATGTACAGCCAGAAGTTGTACACCTGCGTGGTCACGCCGGCGAACTCGTACTCCTCGAAGCACTTGTTGCACGCCGCGGCGGTCTGCGAGAGCTTGCTGAGGATCCACTGGTCGCGCGGCGCGAGCTGGGCGACGTCCAGGCTGGCGACGTCCTCCTCGGTGGCGGTGAAGCCCTCCAGATTCATCAGGCCGAACTTCACGGCGTTCCAGAGCTTGTTGCAGAAGTTGCGATAGCCGATCACGCGCTGGATGTCCAGGTTGATGTTCATGCCCTGGATGGTGTAGGCCAGCAGGCCGAAGCGCAGAGCGTCCGTTCCGCACATGGGGATGCCCTCCGGGAAGTCCTGGCGCTTGCCCTGCGAGGCACGCTCGACCTCGGCGGGGTCGAGATTGCCGTGGCGGATCTTCTCGAGCATGGACTCCAGGTCGCAGCCGTTGATGATCTCGAGCGGGTCGATCACGTTGCCCAGCGACTTGGACATCTTGCGGCCGTACTTGTCGCGGATCATCGCGTGCAGATACACCTGGCGGAAGGGCAGCTTGTCCGTCAGCTCCAGCGACATCATCACCATGCGCGCCACCCAGAAGAACAGAATGTCGTGGCCCGTCTCCAGCAGCGTGGTCGGGAAGAACGCCTCCAGATCCTCCGTCTGGCGCGGCCAGCCGAACACGGAGAACGGGAACAGGCCCGACGAGAACCACGTGTCCAGCACATCGGGATCCTGCTCCACCGTCACCTCCTCCGGCTTCACGCCCAGCTTCGCCGCGCCCTTCGCGATGGCCTCCGCCTCGTCATGCGCTGCGACCCACACGTCGTCGTCCTTCACCGCGTCGCCCTGCTTCACCAGCACCTTGTACGCGGGGATGCGATGGCCCCACCAGAGCTGGCGGCTGATGCACCAGTCGTGGATGTTCTCCAGCCAGCGGTACCACGTGTTCTCGTGCTCCTTGGGCAGGATCGACAGCTCGCCCTTGCGCACGGCCTCCACGGCGCGCTGCGCGGCCTCCTTGCAGTCCACGTACCACTGCGGCTTGAGCAGCGGCTCGACGATGTCGCCGGTGCGCGTGCAGACGGGGATCTGCATCTTGTTGTCCTCCTTCCCGATGAGCAGACCCATCTCTACGCGTCAATCGGAGAAACGGAGAAGCACTGGCGAGGTCCTCCTCGAGCTTCACGCGGACGTCGAAGCGCATCATGCCGGTGTACGGCGCGCCGTTCTCGTTGATGCGGCCGTCATCGCTGATCACGTTGATGAACTCCAAGTGATGGCGGTTTCCGCACTCGAAATCGTTGGGATCGTGCGCAGGCGTGATCTTCACCGCTCCCGTTCCGAAGTTCATGTCCACCAAAATGGGGTCCGTGATGATCGGGATGCGTCGCCCATTGATCGGGTGGATCACGTACTTTCCGTGCAGGTGCTTGTAGCGCGGATCGTCGGGGTGCACCGCCACGGCCGTATCGCCCAGCATCGTCTCCAGACGCGTCGTCGCCACCACGATCTTCTCGTCCGAGTTCTCCACGGGGTACGCGAACTTCGTGATGCAGCCGAACTCATAGAGCTTGTCGCCATGGCCGGGCACTTTGCGCAGAGTCCGTCCCTCCAGATCGATGTACTCCACCTCTGCGCCTCACGCCCCTCCTCCACGGTTCTACCGATATCCGACAGCGCCGTGCGCAGCTGGCAGCACCAGTTCACCAGACGGCGGCTTCGATAGATCTTGCCCTTCTCGAAGAGGCGCACGAAGGCCTCCTTCACGGCAGCCGTGAGGTTGGGGTCCATCGTGAACGCCTCGCGGCTCCAGTCCACCGACGTGCCCAGACGACGCAGCTGGTGCGTGATGCTGTTCGCGTAGTTCCGCTTCCACTCCCACACCTTCTCCACGAACGCTTCACGGCCCAGATCGTGGCGGGTCTTGCCCTCGTCCTTCATCAGCTGCTTCTCCACGACCACCTGCGTGGCGATTCCGGCGTGGTCCACGCCAGGCACCCACAGCGTCTCGCAGCCACTCATTCGCTTCCTGGGAGTGAGATTTGGGATGGCGAGAGAGCGTACCAGCGAACAATGGCGTCCTCAATAGAGTTCGTCAGGGCATGACCGAGATGCAGAGAACCCGTCACGTTGGGAGGTGGAATCACCATCACGAACTTCTTCTCGGGAGGAAGCTGCTTGGCGCGCTCCACGCTGGCCTCTACAGCATCACATCGCCCACCGAGAGCTACTGCAGAACCCAGAGGCCTCCCACCACTCTTCCCAAGCGGCCTCAACGGCGTTCGGAGCGTAAGTCGCAGCCATGGGCTCGGACAGGTCTAGTAGAAAGCATACAGTGCGGCTTACCCTTCTTCTGGCCCTTCGGGGTTTTGTTTACAAACACTGGCTCGGGGGCCTTCGCTTTCTTTTCAGTCTTGGCCGCCTTCTTCTCGCCTCCCTGCGCAGCGCCGTTCTTTAATCCCCACTAGTCCATCACCCATTTCATCCTGCCCATACAGCCTTCATTTTCTCTTCTTTGCTCATCTTTGGTTTTGCGTTCTTCTGCTTAGCCAACTTCTTCAACTGACTCTTTGAAAGCTCCTTCGGGGCTTCAGCAGGAGTTTCAGCCGCAGGGGCAGGATTTGTCGTTGCTACCTTTTCGCTCTCAGTGCTAACATCATGAAACGCTAAGCAACAAACATACCTTTCCATGGTAGAGGAACCAAACTACTAAAATGAATTCTAAAACTGTCACACAGAGAAATGAACAAAAATCGGACCTATTTTTGTAACAAAACCAATTCATTAATAAAGGGGTGTCTTCAACAAAACGAATATTAACTATGATACGGATACGTTTTGTAAAATTCAGGAAGGTATTCTTCAAAGTACCGATCGAGTTTCGACAGCAGGCGATCGGAGGTCTCGATTCCGAGCAACTCTCGGACTTTCTGGAACTCTCTCTCCAGCTTCTACCCAATTCAGCTACGAGATAACGTGTACCTCACTGTGCGAAGTCCCCAGCGCGCCCTCCTCATACACCATAATTTCGATTTCTCCGATGGAGTATGAGGTCACGTCTCTCTGTGACTCGTTATCAAATCAAGAGCTCTCTACCCTGGATAGGTCCTCTGTAGGGATCAACCGCGCATTATCAAGATCAATTTTGGTGTGATCGTTTCTACTGACAAGAGGATCCGATTCTGTACAATCGATAAGACGTTCGTGTTGTCTCCACAATGGCAAGTGGCTGCAGGCAATGCAGTTTGCTATCAAACGTTGGGAACGACTTGAAGAAAGGGTATCTATCTAATTCTTGCGATATCTGCTCCTTTCCTTCTCTCTCCCTTCACATCACGAGTAAGTCGAATGACTACACGTAGTACGTTGTCCCCAGTCCCTCGAAGTCGACGGGGTTCACCTTGGGTATGTTTCCCGTCTTGAGCTCCCAAGTGTCTTGTCGCTGACGCAGCCAAATGTTTCGGAGGGCTAGCTTTTTGTCTGGGAAGTCGTAGTACGTGTCTAAAAACGTTTTGCTCCCGAGGAAAGTTGCATTGCACGAAGCTAGCTTCTTTGCTATTGCCTTCATTTGGAAAATGAACTTCTGCTCCACCTAGTCATGATGGGAGTCATTCACAACGACTTCAAGTGCCGCCATTCTCTTCTTCTATAATGATCGGGTTTATTATGAACATGAAAAGTTGCCAAAAATGAATTCCGTATTAATCACTGAAACAAACCCTCCTAAAATCGTTGAAAGTAGTGAGGAACAGAGGCAGACATCGTTTTTCTGTTTCTGGTTTATAACTTGTAGGAATAACAATCGTTCGCGTAGTCTCACAGCGTAAAATGAATGGAAGACACTATATCAAATAGGGGAACAAGACGCTTGTTGATGATGGGAATTGAAGTGTTGGCTCACCGAGAGCGGGAACAGGAGGGGTAATGCAAACGATTTATTTTGACAGTTAGGCTGGAGGTGTATGTTTCTGAAGGACGCGGAGTACGGTAGTGTTTTCTCGGTAATTTTTAGAATAAATCAATCTGCGCAAAAGCATTTGGAGTAATACGATGGTTTTTGTGGATAATGATGGTTCTGCTCAATTATGCTGATCCCGTTTGCACTCCATTCTGTTTTTAGCATAGATTATTTCTCTCTGCTACGGTATTCAGAACTATTCGTTGAAGCCTTCCGTCGTATGGCTCTCTCTAATTGCCATCATCATTTCCATCATATATGCATCCTCTATAAAAATCGCTTTTTCTGTGATTTGCATTGTATTCGTAAATCACAGTTGGATTGGCTCTGTTTTAGAATTTCATTCTTCGTATCATCGTATACCGTCTTCGCTATGGCTTTGAAGAATTCAGCTTATCGCGTGTTTTTACAGTCTTTTTTGATTCTTTTCTTTGATTCTCTAGCTTCTTTCATTTTGCTTCGTTATCGCCGTAGTGTTTTTTGAAATGGTCGACGAGGCGGGGAATAGTTGCAGGTAGACTGCGCTATTGCTGCTTCCTCCTGCACTTTTCATTCGTTCATTCGTTCAAACGTTCAAACGTTCATTCATTCATTCGATCGTTCGTTCGTTCGTTCGTTTAATTATTCATTCATTCATTCATCCATTCATGGATTTATTGCTTGTTTGTTTGACTCTGTTTTGAAAAAAACACGATAGAGGATCCCTTTCTGTTCAAACAACTCCAAGGTCGCACCCACTTCCTTCTCGGGGAAAACGTTCTCCCCGATTCCCACTTCGGAGGATGTCACACCATGGAAATCAGAACCACTGCAGCAGAACAGATTGTGCTTATGACAGAACGTGCGATATACCACGCTGCTTGCCTCAGGATGATGGCGAGGAGGGAAACATTCCACACCATCCACGCCGTATTGCAGAGCTTCTTTGCAAACACGAATGGGATAGTTATAGAGCCAGGGATGAGCGACGGCACAGAGACCGTTGAATTTGTGGATGAACTGGATTGCCTGCTCCAGATTGTAAAGTTTCACAGGTTCGAAGCTGAATGGTACATAAAGTGATAAAAGTATACTATTTGCAGTTATTTCCGATGAAGCGAATATACGCTTCTGGAATCGTGTTGATATAATGATGCTCCTACACATCAACCACCAAACACAAGCGGGATAAATACCAATAAGCACTGGGCGATGACAGGGAGACTTGGGTAGCAGTCCTTTGTTTTGGCTTCTATATCCGAATAAGGAATGTGATACCCATCTTGCTCAAGCTTTCCGAGAATCGTTTTGCATCTCTGAACTCTCACTTCGCGCACATGGGAGTCCATTTCTTCTAGAATCTTGGAGAGATCTGCAGTTTTGGGAAAATAGCACGCCAAGTGAATGTAGTTCTCGGTATCAGAGTAAGAAGACAATTCCATCCCGGAAATAATTCGCATTCCATCCTGAACGCGCTCCTTCACCTTCATCACTCCTCGCACTGTATCGTGATCCGTAATCGCAACAATCTTCATTCCAATTTTCTTGCATCGACTAAGAAGCTCTTCCACAGAAAGTTTCCCATCCGAGGCATTTGTATGGAGATGCAGGTCGATTCTTGGCTTGTTCTACCTCGTACCCCGTCACTCTCCCCTACAAGCATAAGGCGAACCGGCATAATGCAAATTTCTATCCAACAAACAGCCAACACCCAAACACGAGTACGAAAACCCCTCAATTCCCGCTCTCTACTTCAAGGTAGCCACCATATCATCGATCTTCAGCATCATGTGCACATACTCCGTCGCCTGCTGAATCGCACTCGCCGTCACCAGCAATGGCTGGATCACGCCTTCCTCCTTCATATCTCCGATACACCCTCTCTTCACATCAATTCCCGCCGTCTTCTCTCCCATCGCATGGCGCTGCCTCAGCTCCGTCACCTGCTGAATCGCGTGCATTCCCGCGTTCTCCGCCAAGGTGTACGGCACCACTTCCAACGCCTCCGCGAACGCCCTCGCGATGATTCGATCCGCGCCTTCCAAAAATCCCGCCCATTTCTGGAACTCCACAAACACCTCCGATTCGGGAGCTCCGCCTCCGACGAGCAGGAAGGGCTTTTTGACGAGGCAGCGCACGACGCAGAGCGCGTCATGCAGCGAGCGGTCGGACTCGTCGAGCACGAGGTTGTTGGACCCGCGGAGCAGGACGCTGACGGTGTCGGAGGCGGGGACGCCGGTGATTTGGGTGATGCGACGGCCGTCGAGCTCGACCTCCTCGACGAGGTCGGCGTGGCCGAGTTTGTCGGGAGTGAAGGAGTCGATGTGGGCGATGGGGCGGCAATGGAGCGTCTGGGAGGTGAGAAGGGAGCGGAGAGAGAGAGAGTACGCGTGCGATGAAGTCGATGTCGTCGCGCTCGATGTTGCTGAGAACGAGGATTTTGAGTTTGCTGAGGAAGTGGAGCGAGAGCTCGTTGACCGCGTCGCGGAGAATCGACTTCTGCACCAGCAGCACGTTGCACCCCGCCTGCTTGATCTTCTTGCACATCTGCGCGTGAGCGAGCCTCCGCGAAACCCACGTTGAGGATGTACGCGCGCTCCTCGCGCAGCAGCCGGTCCATCTGCGTGTAGTCGTTGATGATCACTTTGTTATCGATGTCCGTCTTCGGAGCCGATAAGTGGAACTGGATCAGCCCGATCTTCGCGTTCTTCACGCTTCGCACGCCCAGCATGCTCGTGTCGCTCGCGCGCGGGAACACCAGGCCGCGGATCAGCTGGCTGTCATCGATCGTGCCGCCCAGCTGCTTTACGATTTTGATGTTTCGCAGATCCACCTGCTTCCGAGCCACGTCGCTCACTTGCAGCACCGCGTCCACCGCGATCGGGGCCAGCACTGCCGAGTTGTTGCTCACCACTTTCGACGACAACGACGTCGACGCGGCGCGGAGGAGGCTTTCGCGGTCTTCCAGAGAGACAGGGATCGCCATCGAGGAAAGGATCTCCTGGGCCTTCTCCGCGCAGCGCAGGAAGCAGTCCGCGATCACGGTGGAGTGAATGCCCTTGTTGAGCAGCTTCGTACAGGCATCCAGAAGAGCGCCCGCAATAACCACGACGGTGGTGGTGCCGTCTCCCGCCTCGATGTCCTGCGCCTTTGAAAGCTCGACCAACATGCGAGCAGCGGGGTGAAGCACCTAGATGTCACGGACGGGCGCGAAACCGACTTGGATTTGTCCTAAAATCGTGGCACCATCATTCGTGATGAGAACTTCTCCCTTCTCAGCCTGAATCATTTTATCCATACCACGCGGTCCCAACGAGGTTCGCACGGCATCTGCCACCGCTAGAAAATGAGGATACCACGAATCAGTGCCCACCTTTCGCAGCTAGAATGTTCGACATGCGAACGTCCTTTGACTTGGAATCGCCTTCCAATAATTCTCCTTTATTCTGTTGAGTATTTGAAATGGGCTGTCCAGACATCTGATTATTCAATCAAAAGTGAAATACCAGAACGTTGTGAATATTTGGAACTCCAAAAATCGTCCCTTCTCCGAATGACGCGTTGTAGATGGTTTGGATAGTTGCATTTAAACGCATTCCTCCCTCTGCCCCTTTGAGCCTAATTTCAGACTCGTTTCAAATTGAACATCCATTTTGATGAATACTGGTAGATTTTAATGTGGATGGACCATCGTGCATAGAGAAGCGTCTTGGAGAGAACCAGGAGGAAATTGACCCAAAGCGCGTCGAACAGCAACAAACACACATTTTCGACTTGGATACCCTGCGTCACTTCTATGGTATGCATTCCTATTGAATTTGATGAAAGAGCGGCTCTTTCCAGCCGAGGAGATCGTGGAGTGGCTCACCTATCCGTATGGAGATGGACCCGACCAACGTCTGAGTATGACCAAGCGTGAGTTGTCGTTTACTCTCCAAAACGATATTTTTGTTCGATATAAGGGATTTCGGAATGCAGTATTACTTTGCACAGCAAGTATAATGGATAGGAATCATTCCGACAGGAACTCGTCAACCAAGTGCCAATCAAGTATGATATTGGCGGAATCTACAATTTGGACGTATTTTCTCCCTAGACTGATCCTAACAAGCAGATGTCCCACAAGGGAGGAAGCGCTTTCAAGCCCATCGCTCGTGAGCTGATCTTTGATATCGATATGGACGACTACTCCTCCGTATTCGCTCAATTTGCCTCACATCCAAGGTTCGCTACTGCTGCGAAGGCGCCAACATCTGTCCGAAGTGCTGGAAGTTCATGACGAACGCGGCGATGGTTCTCAAGAGCATTCTCACCAAGGAATTCGGCTTCAAACACATTCTGTTCGTCTATTCCGGACGTCGTGGAATCCACATCTGGGTCTGCGACCGCCGAGCCCGCTCGCTGACAGACTATCAGCGTAGCAACATCGTCAACTACGTGACGTTCACGCCTTCGACGACCGTTCTGCGGTATTCTCTCTGGTGGTTTGCTTGCGCATGGAATGATTCGTAGCGTGGCGGCCAAGAAACTGAGGCCATTCTTTGTGGATTGTATGATCGAATCGGAGGAGAATGGAGGACAGGACGTGCTCCGATTTGATCCTTCGTTGGTGTCAAGCTCCAAAAATCAGGGCTATATTACGGACGAAATGATTCTGGAGCAGAGCAAGAATCAGCGATTCGGTTTGCTTCTGCAATGCGTTGAAAGCAAGAATCGTCTAGAAATCCACAAAATCCTCACGAAGCAGAACATGTTGACTCCCAAAGAGAAGTGGAATCGAATCGAACGCGTGCTTGAAAAAGTGAAAACGGCACAAACTCGCTGAGACATAGAGCAAAAAACACGAACTCGAACGGATCATTTTAGCGTATACCTATCCACGAATTGATCAGAACGTCTCCTTGTTGAGACACCACTTGTTAAAGAGCCCTTTTGTGGTCCATCCGAAATCATGCAGAGTGTGCTGTCCGTTCGACCCAGACGCAGAGCAGCCGTTCGATCCGTTTTCGGCTCCTTACTTGGACGAGCTCTTTGTGAGAGATGATGCGCGTGGGGTGAGAGAGAATGGGGTTACGCATAGTGGAGAAGTATAAAAACTATGTGAAGTTTTTCCGCGAAACGTTTTTAGCGCCGCTGCGCAAGGAAGAGGAGAAATTGCACAAGATCGAGGAAGGACGAAAAGTTGGGGAAACAGAATTGTTTTAAAAGTGTTTGTTTGTTGAAATGTTGGATGGTATATAGATATAGATATAGGGAAATAGATAAACAGATAAATAATAGATTAGACGTCTTTAAATTGTTCATATATCCTCAAATTCAGCGATTCAGTCAACCATTCCACCTATTTTTGGAATTCCGAATATTTGCGGTGATCACATAATTTGGTGATAACGACAAAATGAACATGGCAATGAACGAGCAGAGCTCTCCTTTGGATCCTTTTCGTGAGCAAGTGAGTGCCCTACGAAAGTAGGTATTTCGCGTACAGTGTCAGTTTTGTAGAGTCTACACGTTTTACATCGAAAAGACGATCAACTATCCGATGTACCGTTGGCTAGTTCTTGTCCTGACCGTAATTCTCTATGCTCGTCGTATTTTCCATGTTCAGGGCTTTTACTTGATCACATATACTTTGGCCTTATATCTTCTCAATCTTTTATTGGGCTTTTTGTCTCCGCTTGTAGTGTTTTGGTTAGTTGGGTTATGGACTAGGAAGTATATGATGACGATACTGCTGAGCTTCCTACACGTGACGCCACCGAATATAGACCCTTCATTCGCCGTGTGCCTGAGTTTACCTTTTGGTAGATCGTTGGTATTTAAATGAACGATAGGAAAAACAGCATGGAGGCCATCCTCCTGTGCTTTGTACTCACCTTGTTCCCCATCTTTGATCTCCCTGTCTTCTGGCCGGTTTTGGTGGTGTACTTTGTGGTAGGAATATGGAGTTGTCAAAGAGTAACGAAACTAGATGCTTTTCCTTATCACAATGCGTGATCGTTTGGTTCATATGATTCGCTACCGATATCTTCCCTGGTCTCACGGCAAAAAGAGATATACTTCGGATTAAGTGTGTAGTTGAGTCTGTTTGTTGGAATCTTGTTGTGGGGATTCATCTCATATAATCAAATCTTTCTTTTTGTGGAATTCACCGGTTTGCTTCTGGTTCTAACTAGTTTTTAAAAAATGGGGCATTGTTTTCCGTTTCTTGTAGTGTTTGTAATTTTGGTTGTTGGTTGTTCCTCCAACACCAATATCAATATCGGTAATTTACGCATCCCACTGTAACAATCTAGGCACTCTCGTATCGAAAGCCGCCAAAACAGGTGATAACGCTTATTGTATGGAAGGATTCTATTTTGAACTGGCAGCGCAGGTGAATCTTTTACGAGATCTATGATTTGAAGGTCGCTGCGCAATTTGTGAATGACAATCCGGAGATTATGCCAAACCACACTTTGGTGTTGGACGTCCGCGATATTAAAAAGGACCGGTACGTAGCATATGTTGCTATATGAAACTAGTTACGAAGCTATGACTGTAACAAGAGAATTGATTGTGTCTCATTTGAACTCATCCACGCAAGGACCGATCGTAGCTATCGTAGGAGCGGCGAGTGAGTATGTCCGCTGGATGGATCCGACCGTGTAGTGATTTGAATGAACTTGTTCAGCTGACGGCTTCCGAATTTTCGGTCCCCCAAGTTTCCTTCGAATCGCACTCCACCGACCTGTCTGACACGACCCTCTATCCCATGTTCTCTCGCATGTCCGCATCGCAGGACTTCCTCACGCTCTCTCTGCTCAAACTGATCGAGAAGTACCGCTGGCAGCGTTTCAACATCATCGCATCGGACGACAGCGACGGTTCCAACGCTGTGGAGGAACTGAAACGCGCGGTGACGCAGATGCCCGAAGACTTTCAAGACTACATTCAAGTTTGCTTTGTTTGACGTGTTTTCGAATCAGATGGGAGTGACGGTTCGCTACCCCACTCGCATGTCGCTTCCTCTCTCCGAAGACGACGAATCGTACGTGAAATCGACGCTGGATCAGATCCGCAAATCGGGGAATCGCATCAACATTCTCTTCGCGGACCCCATGCAAGCGGCCGCCTTTTTGTTCGTAGCGTCGAAAGAAAAAATGACAGGCAACGGCTGGCTGTACATCGGCACGGATTGGAACAGCATGCAGACGTATTCGGGATTGGACGACGAGTTCCGCGAAGTGGTGAAAAACGCGATGAACGGAATGGTGGGGATCAGTCCGTACATCGGAAACGTGGAAGCCTTGGACACGTTGTTCAGCGTACGATTGCGGATTGGAGGCGAGACGTAGAACTACTTGGCACAGCACCCGGAGATGCAGAAGCAGGCGAAGGAATTGTGCGGGAAGGAGATCGTGGTTCATCACGATTTGTACCCGGAATACACGATTTTTGTGTACGATGCGGTTATCACGGTCGCCTACGGACTGCACGCCGTGCTGAAATCGAAGCCCGATGCGACCTTTGCGTACCCAATCGATCAGGAATCGAGCCGTAGCACGAAAGAAGAGCGAACTCTGCTCTATCAGAACATTCTCAACGTCACTTTCGACGGCATGTCCGGCAAAGTTTCCTTCAAACCCGGCGTCGGCGATCGCGTGCCCGCCAAAATGGAGATCGTGAACATCTACGTTTCCCCTGTTTCCCCTTTTCACGTCCAGAACGGAGCGATCCTCGACATCGGCGACTCCGAATTCTTCAACAGCACGAACTACCGTTTCGAAATCGACAGCGTGCCGCGCTGGCCGGGCGGCGGCACCGCGGTTCCCACCGATCGAAGCGATAGCGAGGAGGAGTATTTGGCGCTGTACATGACGCTGACGCTGCTGTGGATGTCGATCGCGTTCATTTTCGGAGCGATGCTGGAGCGGTGGGAGATTCACCGACTGCCCGAAAGCGGCGCGGTGGTGGTGTTTGGAATCATCGCCGGCGTGCTGATTCGGTTTATGGGAAGCGAGGTGAGCTCGGTAGGCGGCGTGGCGGGGAAATGAAAGCGAAGACGGCGGTGTTCGACCCGAAAACGTTCACGCTGATGCTCTTGCCGATCATCATCTTCGAATCGGGGTACAACATGAAGACCAAGGGCATTTTCTTCAAGAACATCGGAACCATTCTCATCTACGCCATCTTCGGATCGCTCTTCTCCGCGATCGCGACCGGCCTGGCGCTCAGCGGACTGTTCTCGCTCAAGCTGTTCGACCCGATTAACATGTCCTCCATCGAGTGTCTGATCTTCGGTTCGTTGATCGCAGCCACCGATCCCGTGTCGACATTGGCTGTTTTCGGGGCGTTATCGGTCGAGCCGATGCTCAGCATGATCATGTTTGGATCTTGTTATGATCTTGTTATGCGTAGCTATGGCGAATCGGTGATCAATGATGCGGTTTCGATCGTGATGTTCAACACCATGTCCAAGTTCCTGCTCACGCCCATGTCGTTCCTCGCCATTTGCGACGCCGTCTGGACATTTCTCGTGATGTTCCTCGGCTCCACGGTGATCGGCGCCCTCATCGCCTTGTTCTGCTGCCTCGTCCTGAAATATGTGCGCTTCCCCTCCGTGGTTTTGGAGACCATCATCGTGTTCCTGACCGCGTATCTGGCGTTCGAGCTCACGGAGTCCTGCGAGTTGTCGGGAATCACGGCTTCGCTCTCGTGCGGAATCACGATGAACTACTTCGGGCTTCGCAATCTGCCGAAGGCAGGCCAGGAATTCTCGCAGCAGGCGGTGAAAGTGGCGTCGTCGGTGGCGGACACGCTGATTTTCTTCCAAGTGGGAGAGAACGTGTTCCTGAAAGAAACTATTTTCGATGTGCCCTGGAAGCTGGTGCTCGCCGTGTTCGTGATTATCATCCTGGTGCGCGCTGTGATGATCTTTGGATTCACGTATCTCATCAATATGAAGCGAACCAAGAGCAAAATCAGCGTGAACTCGCAGATTATGATGGTCCACGCCGGGCTGCGCGGCGCGATCGCCTATTCGCTCGCTCTTGTGTTCCCGTCACACAATCAGGAAGACGTTACGCGCGTCACGATGTGGATTGTGATCCTCACGATCTTCACGCAGGGCTGCAGCACCTACGACATGCTCCACTTGCTGCGCATCCCGCTGCACTGCAATTACGACACCAATCCGCAGAACGCGGAGAACCGCAAGAAACGGTCGGTCATGGCTTCGAGCGGAACGTTTGCCGCCAAATTAACCGCGTGGATCGAGAACCGCGTGATTCCCTTCTTCACCAATGAGCAGAAAGAGATCGAACAACCACTACTAAAGTCGAGTATTACACCATGCAATGAGTTTTAGTCCCGATGAACTCGACAAGGAGTTCATGATGCAGAATTATGTCACACCGCGCGATTCGTCCTCTTCGACACGCAGTCCAGCACGGAGGTCGTTCACATCGGTGACACGCGTGGTGAAAGGAAACGATGGAAAGACCATCGTGAGCAATGTCGCGGATGTGGAGGCGGACACGCTGGAGGACGAGAAGGATATGTTTGTGATCTCGGACGATGAGGTTGATAAGGATATGCACACGACACCGAGAGCCACGACCGATTCCGCGAAGAGTCCGCGGAACTCGAACTTGACGCCGCGGTCGTCGCTGCTCGGATTGGGGGCGAAATGAGGAATGTTTGCTTTCTTGCTTTGAATGTTTGTTGGGAGTCATGAACACACTTTTTCGGTACGCCATGTCGGAGGAAGTTGGTTGTGAAAACAGGGATTGAGGATCTAGAAAATGAAATACGATACACCAGCTCTCGTATTTGATATAGTCAAGAAATGGAATCGGGCTCGTGCATCCGTAATGACGCTTCGTCACGGTCCCGTGCTGACTCCCGTGTTTATGCCCGTTGGGACGAAAGGTCCGTGGAAATAGGAGAACTTGATCGGTAGGCACGATAAAAGGACTCACGCCCGATCAAATGCGTGACGAACCCATGGATTGTCAAGTGAGCTATGGTGAACCGCAAATCACTCCTTCTAGATTTTACTCGGTAATACCTACCATCTCAGCAGCAAGCCGGGTGCGCAGGAAGTTGCAGGTGGCTCTGGAATTGACACTACTTACTCGCAGACTTTGGCGGCTTGCACAAGTTCATGCAGTGGGACCGTAACATTCTAACGGACAGCGGCGGTTTCCAGATGGTGTCTCTTCTGGATTTAGCGGAAATCACCGGTATTTTTCCCCTCCCTCTGTAATCCCAGAAAACGGCGTTGTTTTCCGCCACCCCGCCGATGGTTCGCGTCTGGTCCTCCGTCCCGAAGACAGCATCCACTACCAGAACCTCATCGGCGCGGACATCATCATGGCTCTGGACGATGTCGTCCACAGCTGCACCAACGACGACGCCCGCTTCACAGAAGCGACCCACCGCACCGTACGCTGGCTGGACCGCTGCATCGCTGCGCACAGCCGCAAGGACGAGCAGAATCTGTTCGCGATCGTGCAGGGCGGTCTGGACGTCAGCGACAACGGCCTTCGAAACCAGTGTCTCGACGCCTTCCTCGAGCGAGCCGACAGCATTCCGGGCTTTGCGATCGGCGGCCTGGCCGGAGGCGAAGACAAGGAGTCGTTTTGGCGGGTGGTGGAGCTGTGCACGCGGCGCCTCCCCGCGGATAAGCCGCGGTATGTGATGGGCGTGGGGTATCCGCTGGACATTGTGGTGTGCACAGCGCTGGGCGCCGACATGTACGACTGCGTGTATCCGTCGCGAACGGGGCGGTTCGGGACGGCGATGGTTCCGTGGGGCTTGCTGAAGCTGAAGAGCAAGGCGTGCGCGGAGGACCTGCGTCCGATCGATCCGGACTGCACGTGCCGGACGTGCAAAGTGGGGGAAAGAGGGCGAGTCGAGGGTAGAATTATTCGCGCGCGGCGCTGCACCAGCTGTGCAAGAAGGAGGCGTTGGGAGCGAGTCTGGTGACGGAGCACAACCTGCATTATATGATCCATTTCATGCGGGAGATGCGAGTGAGAATGGCGAGGGAGTGCGAGATAGATGAGCATTATCGAGGGGCGGTTTGACGCGTTCGTGAGGGAGTTCATGAGGAAGTACTTCCCGAAGGGAGACGTTCCGAAGTGGTGCGTCGACGCGCTGCGTGTGGCAGGAATCGATTTAGTAGAGTCATCGAGTGTTTGTGTTCAAACAGAGGAAATAATGGACTGGATGTAGATGTCTTCGTGGTAAGGCTGCTCGGAGTCGAGCGAAATGAGCTTGTGAAAGCGATTGAAGTCGATCACGGCCTCTCTCTTCTCGCTGATCGACACGCAGGGAGCGAACGTCATGTTGTACGAAACGTCGGTCCACATGTAGCTGTAGCGGGCTTGAAGAGACCGGCTCGTTATAGACTCCGTTCCTTCGATCATCACCACGATCTCGATGTCGTTTGCTACTAAATACTCGCGGATTGACGCTTCGGAGAGCTGGGATTTGGAGTCATCCGACCGATTCGGGAGCAAGGGATAGAGAGGAGAATCCGCATCGATGTGGTGGATCTAAGGAGCATTTGGATCGATGACGCATACCACAACAGCAGGGAGAATGAGGAGCAGATAGCCTCCATAAGAGTCGTTCGGATGCTATACATGAGAAAGGAAAAGGAATTGGAAGGTACATCGAGTTTCATTCGCCGAATCTGGAAAGGAACTCCAGACTCGGCGTTGACAGTCTTCTGAACAGAGTAACAGGTGACGTGACTCTCAATGAGTTGATGCTTGCGTCGTTCGCAAATCTGAAACATGAAGTACCATTCGCCGTTGATCTCGCGGATTACGGCGCGTTTACTGAAAATAATCGAGCGAGCTCTCGTCTAGAGAATAAAGATGAAAAGAAGCGCCAACCAAAGCGCGACTAACACGGGCATAAATAACGCCAATGCAAAAAGAATTCATGAAAACAGATTGCATCATTTCACAGAACAATAGGACAAAAGCAACAGGGTTATCATCTATAAGGAAGAATAAAAAACCAAAAAAGAGAGTCACTGAAAGAAATATCTGAAACCGTGTAGCCAACAGTTGTAATCGTTTCTAAACTAATAATAAGAGCATTGAGATAGCAGTGGATGTCAATAAAGCCATAATCGCGGAAAAAGTAAAACATCATTGCCCAAAAGAGAATGCTGATCATATACTATTGCATGAATCTAAATAGATAATATGATACAGCACCAAGAATAGAAGCAATCACTATACCTGTCGAAAGAGAAGCAAACGAATGAAACCAATCATCCAAGTAAAGAGATGATTGCTTTTCCCCTGTTTTTGATATACCAAATCGGCCTAAATGTAATACCCACTGCAACACGAAATACCGTAAGAACGTTCATCTGTCCCCTCTCTATCAATAAACCTGTATTTCTTTGATGGTTCCTTTGATAATAAGGGTTGATTCATCAACTGGGAAAAGAAAATGTGAAGTGTGTATAGGTGGATATATGACTGTGGAGAACTATTTCTCAATGTGAGTAAGATCGATTGTTACATTCAAATAGGAATTGCTTATTATTATCTGAAAACAATTAGTGTTTGTACATTGTTGCCTACGAGTTACGGTGAATACTGCTGGAGATGTAGTGATTTCGATACGTCACTTTATGAGTATAATGGTGTAGGAAAACACATTTGGGGGATAATCTGGGGTGTACGATTAGTATTCTGGAGTGAATTAACAAAACTGGAAAACAAGTAAGATGAGGTCAATTGTTTGATTGACAACTTCTTGAAGGTAATGGAATGTTAGGGATACTACAAGAATTTAAAATAATAATAATAATAATAATAATATGTATTAATCAAAAAAATAGTGAGCTAGCTACTTCTGAAAATGTTGAGAAACTTGGTCGTTTAACCAATCCACTATATCAATACTCTGTGAATGGCTGTCTTAAAAAAAGTCTCGAGCAAGAATAGAGCAAACTCCACTGCTGAGTATTGATGAACAATAGTTATCTTGCAGCCAGTTTCTACGAATACTCGATACGCAGATCAAACACAAATTCACATTTGCTAGGAGAGTATCAATGAAAAATGAACAAAATGGAAAAAGGGTGGGCATTTTACTTTTAAATTTGGTGGGAAATAGATTTTGTTTATTGAGTACCGATACATATGCTATACTACAAGTTTAAGAACGATGAGAAGGGAGAACTAAATGAATTGTGTATAGCTGCTAGGTTCCCGAACATGATCCCGAAGCGAGTAATCATTCACCTTTCTATTGCTGTAGTCGTTCTCTACGTATGCGTAACGTTTTAGGACCAATCAAAGCGTATTGAGCAATTGGAAGAAGATTTGCCTTTACGCATGTATGCTCTTCTCTTACTGGGAATCTCTAAGCTAACACAGAAAAAAAGCCAACTCTTATTGTCGGAATGCCTCCGCTTGCAAAGTGAGTTGGTGGAAGTAAAATCTTTGGATAAAAAGAGTTTTGATCTGGGACTGGCATTTGGAAGTGACCAGCACATTAACCTTCCGAAGAATCCGGGTTGCTTAGAGAATTGTGATGTAGACATCACTATGGATGAGGGGAAAATCGTTGATGAATGGGTGCGAAATGTATGATTGCGTATGTGTGTGTGATATGACTTTTAGAATTTTGGCGAGAGTTCGCTACTAAATGATTCGTTCACCTCCAGCTCGAATCCTTCCTTATCAGGAACTTCAGGTGAGGTGGATATGTTGCGGAGATACACGCAACAAACCATTCTGGATGACCTATTGCCTCAGTCAGACCAATCTCTAATGGCTCAAGCAGTCGAGGTGGAATCGCGTCGAGGAAATGACGGAACATCACTGAATTTGAGTATTCTGAATCGAGCTTCAGCCGACTCGATGGGCATGGATTTCGATCTCAATCCCCTTTCTCCCGAGGAGTATCAATTTGTATATTGTGTATAGCAGTAGTTCTGTTGCATCCCAATTGAGCCATTCATACTTATTAAAACCTATCGATAAACTTGGTGACAAAAGAAACAAGCAAACGAAGAAGAGAAAGCCAATTCCTCTAGATCAATGTTGCTTTTGTTTGTAGTACGTCATCTGTAGCTCTCGAACTAAGTCGGGAAGGAATGCTCATGCGTCCGTCAGATATGAAGAGTCTTTTTTCCAGGCTGCGCTCAAAACGCCAGAAGTTAAACCACTGGAAGCGGTTTTTGTTCAATCTGGAAACTCAAGTCCTTTCAAACTGTTATGGAGATTCTCTGCAACAACTCTTGAAAGTGCCACTACTCAGTGGAAAGAAATCTATGGAGGTGTCTCAAATGCAACCGGAGGAAACAGGAGATAACATGGATTTTGAGCCACCCTCGTTGGATAATGCTGATGTGACATTAAACATCCCCGACCCGTCAACGCTACAGGAGTTGGACAATCCTTCTCTTGATTCAAGCGTCGAATATCAGGCGTTTGTCGGAGAAGTGAAGGAACAGTTACAGGAGGCCATGGAACAGCACGGAAGCCAAAGCATTTCGTGGAATACTTTTTCCAAATCAGAAAAAAGGCGGGAGGCAGCGCTCAATTTCCAACATCTGCTACAATCAGTATGCCAACGCGATTTTTGTGTATCTCAAGAGTCTCCATACGGAGACATTTCTATATCGCTCGAGATATAAAGAGAAGGTGAAATCATGAAAAGGTCGGTTTGTCCGCGGTTATTTGTGTAATCTGTATTATTGTTTTTTTCATAAAGTATGGAGACTACGGATAAGATCGTACTTGTTAGCAAGGAGGGGGAAAAGCAGATAGTTGATTCTCGAATACTGGACATGTCTGAGTATCTCAAGGAAAAGAGAGATAACCACGATATTCATGACAATACAGTAGTATTAGATAATATTGGTGAAAATACTTTGTCAAGAATCATTGCGTTTTGTAGAATTTACGAGCTGGTATGATTCCCAGGTAATTATCATATTGATAACCCTCTGGCCGAGATCGAGAGGCCGTTGAAGAGCAGCAACATGCGTGATATCGTATCGGAATGGGATGCCAACTTCATCAACATTTCTGTCGAAGACCTTATGGACCTAATTGTGGCTGCTAATTTCTTGCTGATCCAGCCCCTATTGGAGGTTGCGTACGTTCTTTTCTTTTTCTATAACAAAGTTGTGCGAAGGTGGCCAGTCTGATTAAGGGAAAGTCTCCTGAGGAAATCCGTACCACATTTAAGATAGTCTCTGACTTTACTCCTGAAGAAGAGGCGAAGGTGGGTATTATGGGCCGTAGTAACGAATAGATTCGTGAGGAAAACAAGTGGGCAATTGAAGAATAGTTCTTAAACTGATTTACTGTTTGTTAGGAAACCATTTCTTAATTAAATGGGAGGAAAATAGAAGGCTTTCCAGTACGTTTAGACAAGATTCGTAATATGATAGATGAAGTTGAAAGGAATTCACAGTTTCTTCTATTTTCACAAATATTGATTATCTTCTGCGAGAATCGGTATGACTTTGAGCCGTACCTAGTACTTTTCGCTGGTCGTTTGTACAATTCCCATTCATAACGAATGGAGAGTAAAACTGTTTAAAATTGAGTGGTGACTCCAACTCGAAACAACGTGGGCTAAGAAAGAATACAATGATATTGAAAAGCTGAAAGGTGATGTGAATAGAATGAATATAGTAATGATAGCTTAATGATATGATAAGTAGGAGTAAGAATGAAGCGAATGAGGAGGAGTATGAAAGAGAGTGATTAGTAGGGTTGAACCGTGCAATCTTCTGTCACAATCAGAATATTAGAGTAAAGAATAGAGTGTAGTCCACATAATAGAGTTATTATTATTTGTAAAATTAGAATTCCCTATAAAAGTGTTATATTGCCAAAAGAAATCAGTGATTTGCTAATGAGGTAATGAAATAGAATTGAATATCATACATGCAACTCATGGCGAGATATTTGATCATCACAATACGCAATCTGGCGTATTTAGTACAGAACAACTTCATATAGCCGTGTCACAGAGAAAGTACTTGTATTAGTGAATCGATAGAAAACAATATAAACGACTAGGGAGATGTAGATGAGTAACAGATAGGAATCTGCAGCTAATAATATCACTTTGCTTTGTTCTCTGTTTTATTCATTGTAGGAACAAAACAGTTCATGGGTTACACAAAGCTATATAATTGAGATGATTAAAATAGATGCAGGTTCTACAGAATAACGTGATCCACTTCAACAATCAAACGTATACCACAAAAGTGGTAGCAACATCAACAATATGATAGAGGCACAAATAATCCCAGGATTTTTCCTTCAAAGATGAACAATTTGGATGTACTGGGGAAGCACAGAAATGTTCCTTAAGAATGGAAATGAATAAGCGGAGTTATATTTCTGTATCATGCTACTTTAAATGCAGACTTTTGATTGTTCAAATGATAAGGCAAATATGAATGGATATAAATGAAACGCACAAAACGGACAGTCATCATTTGATTATCAAGAATCTAGTAGATTCGGTTTTGCCTTGGCTTTTACACACTATTATCTATTGATTGTAAATGAGTAATTTGTCAAAGGGTGCTATTCACGTTACTAACATCGAATTACCAACAATAAACAATGCTAGTGATAAAACTGACGAAAAAGACAAGTGGTGGGAATACAACGTTTCGGAGCAGTTCCCTATAAAGTCAAGAAGAGAAACAAATGGTCCAACTCATATTGAAGTTGGTAAACCTCATGAAGGTTGTCTTATCAAAACAACAATGAAAAACGGGAAAATGAACGGAGAATCCAGTATTTATTCTCAGGATAATACTCTGATGGCAACTCTGACATTTGTGGATGGAATCGCTTCAGGACCTTGCACACTCTGTAAAAATGGTATTTTGTTCTATAAAGGTTACTTTGTAAACGGATATCGAGAGGGAAGAGGACAAGAATATGATGAAAATGGCAACGTGGTATTTGATGGATATTATAAGAAAGGTAAGAAACTGAATATAGTACCATCGAATGAAATGGGAAAGGGATATTGGAAAGAGTTGGATGAAAAAGGAAGAATCATTCGAATTAGTCAGAAAGATGAGTTGGGAAATAGTGAAGGGTTTTGTTATTCTTATGAGGATGGAAAGATTAGTCGTGTGAGTGTATGGAAAGAAGGTAAAGAAGTGACATTATTGAAACAATTTCGTGATGATAGAATGATAGAATATAAGAATGGTGAGAAAGTGTATGAAGGAGGATTTGTTGATAGTTTGGAAATGGGTTATCCACGAAAAGAAGAAAGAGAAGAATTTGGAAAGGATGATTATACAAAGGTAAGGAAAGGCGTTTTTTCTAAATTGAATACAGCAAGATTGTATGGAACACTACTGGAGAATATATATATATCAATGATTGTAGCTGTAATTTCTATCATACTTTTCTATAACTATTTCACAGCAATTTATCCGAATAATGGACCACATGGAATCAGATCTAAGCAAAAATCATATATAGTAGAATCAGGATCTGGAAAGTATTTAAAGACATTTGAATTGTCTAATTATCCTTATTTAAAGAGAATTGAAATTGGCAATAATTGCTTTGTAAACGTGCACACATTTAGGATTGATGGATTGAATCGATTGAAAACTATCAAAATCGGCAACAATTCATTCACTCACCAAAAGAATAGTAATGGAGATGATGAATGGGAATCATTCCACATATTGAATTGTGAATCATTGGAATCCATTCAAATTGGTGAATATAGTTTCAGTGATTATGCTGGAGACTTTGAATTGAAGAATCTACCACAATTACAATCCATTCAAATTGGTACGATGGAAGATTATTCTACAAATTTCCGTTATAGTTCATTTGTGGTTCGAGGTATTGATATGATATAGAATATTTGGATAATGCATAGATCTTCCAAATCTACAATCCATTACAATAGGTGATTGGGCATTTTCTGATGGTTCCTTTGAGATTGGAGGTATTGATATCATAATGAAAATGATTAAATGCATAGATCTTCCAAATCTACAATCTATTACAATAGGTAATAGTGCATTTTATTATGGTTCCTTTGAGATTCGAGGTATTGATATGATATTGAAAATGATTAAATGCATAGATCTTCCAAATCTACAATCCATTACATTAGGTGGTCGTGCATTCAAAGAATTCTTAACAACGATAATCGAAAGTATTGAATGAATTCGAATGAGTTGATTGATGTAGATCTTCCATCATTACAATCCATTCGACTCGGTTATCAAGCACTTAATGGAAATCCATGGGATGATAATTCTTGTTCATTGACACTTCGAAGTAATAATGAATTGATTGGTTATGATTTGCTTTGTAGATCTTCCAAATCTAACATCAATAACTTCCGTAGGATATAGTTTCGAATATCCTCATGTAGTGACATTGGAAAGTATTTCTGAATATTGAATATTGATAGTATTTAGATATTCCAAATCTTCAAAATGTCGAGCTACCTGATTCATTCAAGTATGTAGAGAATAGTGATTGTAAAAGTATCTTTCATGTTTCTTATTGACATTAGATTGCGGTGTAATATATGCGCTTATCGATTGTCAACTCTATATTCAATCGTTAAATTCATCTGTCAATTCTATAATCATTCCAGGTTGGGCTTGTAGTGACAAAGAATTCACAATATTTGATTTCTCGCGATATACTCTAGTTGAATCAATCGAAATCGGCGATAAAAGTTTTGGATCCGTGCAAACATTCGAAATCGATGGATTGAATCGATTGAAAACTATCAAAATCGGAAATAATTCATTTACTCAGAAAAAGAATGATTATGGAAATGATAAATCGAAATCATTCCACATATTGAATTGTGAATCATTGGAATCCATTCAAATTGGTGAATATAGTTTCAGTGATTATGCTGGAGACTTTGAATTGAAGAATCTACCACAATTACAATTCATTCAAATTGGTACAATTGGAAGTGGGTCACGCAATTTCTATTATAGTTCGTTTGTGATTCGAGGTATTTATGTGATATTGACTGTATACTATCTAGATTTACCAAAATTAAAGAGATTAATATTAGGAGCAACCTCATTTCAGAAAACAGCAGAACTCGATTTATCTTCATATAAATCATTAGAATCAATTGAAATTGGCAATAATAATTTTCAATTAGTAAAGATGTTTTATATCAATGGAATGAATCTATTAAAGAATTTAATAATTGGAGACAATTCATTTAATCAATTGACCACTTCTTTCTTGAGTAATCCTCATTCTGCATCAGAATGGATGGAGAATAGTAACAAATCGAAATCATTCCACATATTGAATTGTGAATCATTGGAATCCATTCAAATTGGTAGATATAGTTTCAGTGATTTTGGAGGCGACTTTGAATTGAAGAATCTGCCACAATTACAATCCATTCAAATTGGTTCGATGGAAGATCATTCTACAAATTTCTATGGTAGTTCGTTTGTGATTCGAGGTATTGCGCTGATATTGAATATTTGGGTAATGCATAGATCTTCCAAATCTACAATCCATTACATTAGGTTGGTGGACATTCCATAAATCCTTATCAACAATAATTGAAAGTATTGAATGAATTCGAATGAGATGATTGATGTAGATCTTCCATCATTACAGAAAATTGAACTGAGTTATTGTGCACTTCGTGGAATTGATGATTCATCATGTTCGTTGACAATGCGAAGTACTGATGAAATGATTCGAACTGATTGAAAATAGATCTTCCAAATCTAGCATCACTAACTTCTTTAAAATATAGTTTTGAATATCCTCGTGTAGTGACATTGGAAAGTATTTTTGAATAAAGAATAATGACTGTAATTAGATATTCCAAACCTTCAAACTGTAAGTCTACCTAATGATGATGACTCACCTACTTTTGGTCATGTTCAAACTAAATCAATTTCGAGTATAGTTTGATTGTCGTACTTCCATTTTTAGATGTTTCTCCCATACTCGCTAATCTTGTCCAAATAAGAGAGTAACGATCATTATCATTGAGAGATTTTGAACTACTGTTTTGAGCATGATTATTAGTATTCAAATTAAAGGTTGTTTATTAAAAACCAAATACTATATATATATTATGCCTTAATTTTTAATATAGTTATTTATCACATGTACAATAGATTAATGTCATATCCCTAAAACAAGGACTGTATAATGCCTAGCCAGTAGCAGTTGAATAAGTAATTGCTATTAACTATTTTTTAGTATTATACTGTCCCTAGATTTCATTGATCATGCTTATCTGACAAAGTATAATTGATAGTTTTTTCTATTTATATAAATTTGCTTGATACTTTGTGTTTCATTTATTACTATATAGATTAATGTTATAAAGGAATTCTAATCTTTCTCTTTATCCTGATTTGTTTGTTCTTAGTTAATTCGCTCAGTGTCATTTGTTAATAATTAAGACTGTTATTTCTACATATAATTGTAATGGAAGTACATGGCTACACAGAAAAAGGATTTGTGCTCAATAGTATACTTTGGTATCATGGTAATAACCTCCTTTGTTGTTCACAATCTTCATTTCTTCTATACAGTAACTAATTGTTGGTTATTCTCAAAATGGTTTCGAGTTTATTCGTTACAATCAAGAAGTGCATATTATCGAGCTTCTCAAACAATCATGATTTTGATTACCATAAATACGACTGCTTTGAATTAAATCATTTACGTATTTCCATATTCATATTCTATTATACTATTTCAAATAGATATGAACTCCATATGTTAATTTCTCAATTATCTTCCAGCGACAACCCATTTTCAAAAAGAATGAAAAGAATGTGTAATAAGTTAAGTAATCTATTTTTGGCTGTGCTCCTTTTATTCCCAATTCAATCCTCTGCTTCATTCTTATTGTTTGTAAAATCCACACAAAGACTAATACTCATCGTTTCCTCTTGAAAGTCGTATTCTGCTATTATTTGTATTTGCTGAGAATGTATTCATAGGACGATAAGGTGATTAACTATGGTGATATAATCCAAATACAATAGGTATGCAGGAGTAGTGTGCTGTTTCCAATTAATAAACCCTGAAATGACTCCTTTACGGATTATAAGAACAAACGGGTCGGTTGATTTGTCAAAGAACCTTATTTGATACAATTATGCCAGTACACGATATTTTTAGCTATTTCCTTCTATTCTTTTCTTGATAATTAGGCCTGGCCTTATAATCAGCAAAATGACCTTTTAACATTTAACCATCACTGCCTCTGCTTTGAAATACGAATATATAATTAACCGCCAACATGCCATTTCTATTTAATTCAGAATATGAAAATATGAGGCAGTTTCTATTTGGCGGGTATTTAGTATTTTTGAATATCACTCTCGTTTTATTTTAGTGTGACTCTACGAGTTTTAGAATGCCAAATGATTCAAAAGAGGAGCCTATTACTCACTCTATTTTGAAATGGCTTCACAATGTATATTTGGCTGTGAAGTGTTATTGTCTAGATTAGATCTCATTTGACAGATTGCCTGAAGTATAGGCTGGACGCAGAAAACAAAGAGATACAAAACTTGTAGAATACAGTGTATTTTATAATAGTATTTAGTACACCGCCTATAGTTCCTTATAAAAAGTGTTGTGACTGGACTTGTAGCGAACACAAACAACTGCTTTTCGCTTCGAAACCTTGTAAAAGGCAACAACCTGTTTCTGTACCTACACAGTCAGTAAATCTTGTTCCATATAAAGATTCAACTCCAAATACCGTAGAAGATTTAACCTTGGATGAGGACCTCTTGCGAGAAGTGAATTCAATCGAGCAGTCGCTGGTTTTGGAAGAGGAGCGTTCTTCTTCTGATATTCATAAGTCGTGTAATCCTAGTAGTTCTACTAGAGTTGGACTCGCTTCGTCTTTCACTATTCAGCCACAACCAGAATCACAACCAGAACCGCAACCACAGCCACAACCAGAACTCTATAGAGCGAATTCAATCCATCCCCCGTTTTCTGTCCCACCAAACAGCTTTCCCCCTCCCTGCAAAACTGCTCATTCCCAATCTTCTCTCTCTCTCCCCTTTTCTTCTCCCTCTTCTAGCATTCCTCAAAACCAACCCTTTTGCCCCCCTCCTCCTTTCGCTCCTTTCGCTCCTTCCTCCAGTCTTCTGGATCATTCACTGCCCTTCCAAGACATGGATACTTCGGGAGTTGAAGAGGCGACTGTGAACAGCACCTCCATTCAGTTCGCCACTGCGAACTCCACGTTCCCGATCGACTCAACCGCCAAAGTGGAGCACAAATCCTTTTCGGTGACGTTCGGCGACGGAACCGAAATCCGGGATATTTCTGGACTTCTAAAGAACTGCCCCGTTTCTGACAAAGAACTGCTCGACAAAAACAAGGAGGTTTTTGGCCACAACGCCTTCCGGTCGGGGCAGATGGAGGTCATGAAGACCGTGCTGACGGGACGAAGCGTGTTTTGCATTATGCCCACAGGCGGAGGCAAGAGTTTGTGCTACCAGCTGCCCGCTCTCCTCCTCCCGGGCATCACCGTCGTCGTCTCGCCTTTGATTTCGCTCGTCCAGGACCAGATTCGCGGGCTGCAAGAAGCCGGCGTGGAGGTGGGCGCGATGACGGGCAGCAGTGGCGGCGAGGTCCCGTCCGCTCTGTGGAATTCGGTGCGAACACGGCAGTTTCCTCGGCTGAAGCTGGTGTACACGACCCCAGAGAAGCTGAACAAGAGCGAGAGCATGAAGAACTTGCTGCGTGCGCTGAGCTCGCTGGGCTTTCTGTCTCTGTTCGTGATCGACGAGGTCCACTGCATGAGTCAGTGGGGCCACGACTTCCGCGTGGACTACAAAGAGCTCGGGAAGGTGCGGTTTGAGTTCTTCCAGAACGTGCCGCTGATGGCGTTCACGGCGACGGCGACGGCGACGGTGAAGAACGACATTTTGAAACTGCTCCTGGTGAACGGGAAGGAGATTTTGGTGTTCCAGAAGTCGTTTAATCGGCCGGAGCTCCGCTACGAGGTCCGATCGAAGAAGAACCATCGGCAGTTTATCAGCGATGTGAGCGCGTACATTCTCTCGAAGCAGCTGAACAACACGGGGATCATTTACTGCGGAACGCAGATGGCGTGCGAGAAGGTGTGCAAAGACCTGCAAGAAGCGATGAAGAATGAGGGATATGAGAGAAAGATCGGGTTTTACCACGCGGGATTGGAGCCGATGGAGCGGGAGCGGATTCAGCGAGAGTGGAGCGAGGACCAGCTGAAGATCATCGTGGCGACGGTGGCTTTTGGGATGGGGATCAACAAGACGGACGTTCGGTTCGTGATTCACTACATGCTTCCGCATTCGCTGACGCATTATTATCAAGGTAGATGGATGGAGATGGGGCGGATTGATTGGTAGAAGCGGGACGCGCTGGTCGCGACCGAAACCCTGCCGACTGCATTCTCTACTTCAACTTCCAGGACAAGAAAACGGCGGAGAATCTGATTCGCCAGAACGAGAACACGTCGATGATCAACCACAATCTGCAGGAACTTCGGCGCGTGGTGACGTACTGCCAAAACAAAGAGGATTGTCGCCGCTGCCAGATTCTCAAGTACTTCTCCGAGGTCTTCAATCGCGATTTCTGCGGCGTTCCGATGCACCAGCTCTGCGACAACTGCTCGCAGCCCCGCGATTTCGAAGTCGTTGACGTTACGCACATCGCCATCGAGCTGGTCCGCCTCCGTTTCCCCTTTTCTCTCGCTATGAAAGGTAGTGTCCGAATGCAAAGCGCCGCTGACGACCAACATGCTGATTTCGGCCGCTCGCGGACTGCACAGCGGTCTGAAGCCGCACGTGCTCGCGTTCGTGCAGTCGCATCCCTCGTACGGCTGCGCCAAGGACATCTCCAAGCCCGAAATGGAGAAGCTGGTGACCGATCTGCTGCAGAAAGACTGTCTGGCGGAGAAGCACACGCGGCTGTCGAGTGGCTGGGGCGCCGTTTATCTCGTTCCAGGAAGCAACGCGGATCGTCTCGCGCAGGGAAGTCTGCAGATCCACATTACGCGCCCGAAGCTGGCGCCCGCTCCGCAGCCCGCCAAGGCCGTTTCGATGGAGACGAGCGAAGAAACGGACGCTCACGGACTGATCGACAACTCGAACGTGATGGAGATTCCTTCGCGACTGGACGACACGCTGCGGAAGCGACTGTATGATCACTTGCTGATGTACCGGTCGTTCTTGCAGCAGATCATCGGGAACGTGAGCTTCACGACGCCAGTCTTGCAGGAAATGGCGTGGACGGTGCCGACCACTCAAGAAGAATTGATCACGCTGGATCGAATCACGCCGCAGTTCGTGTCGAAGTACGGAGAAGTGTTCTTGAAGCTGATCAATTCGTTTTTGGAGGCGAATAGTATTGTGCTGGAGCGGCCATTTCAGTCGCGCGGGTTGTTGAGGCGACGGCAGCAGGAATGGCTGCGAAGAGAGTGGAATGGGCGGAACCGACTGCAGGAAGCGAGCCGAGAAGTGATGCAGAGAGAGAAGGAGGAGGGAGGTGAGAGAGGGAAGGGCGTGCGATCGACGAAGTATTTTAAGGAGGAGGAGGAGGAGGGAAAGAGAGAGGGAGCGTTGGCGGAGAATGACGAGGATTGGCTGGGAGATTTGGTGGAAGAGGCGGATCGAATTGATGCGGAATGGATGCAGAACTTTCAAGAAGAGTCGCCGAAAGTGAATCAAACTCTGAATCCATCCATGAATCAAACTGTGAATCCATCCATAAACAATTCATCGAACACGTCATTGAATCCATCTGAAAATCGAATTCAGACGCCCCTTCCTTCTTTCCCTTCCGTCCCAACTCGCATTCAATCCCAATCCCAATCTCAATCTCAATCTCAATCTCAATCCCAGTCTGCCTTCCAAACTCTCACACAGCCCCTGTCTTCGCAGTCCATCCCTTCCGTCTCCTCCGCGCAATCCCCCTTTTTTAACCGAATCAGTGGAGAAAAGCGAGGCGTTGCGAACGCTGCGGAGGACGCAAATCCAGCGAAGCGATCGAACGCCCCGACAACACACAGCAAATACTTCAATTCACCCAATTCCAGTCCTTTTAAATCGGGATCTCTGCAGCAAATGCTCAGTCGGAAAGTCACTCAAAGCGTGTCTGGAGCCCCGGAAGGTTCCTCTCAAAACCCGATCGTGATTTCTTTTTCTGTTTCCAACAAACACTCGATTTCTTTTTCTTATGAAGATGATCCGCATCCACAAAACCACACTTCTCTAAAACGTTCCGAGTCGCGTTGTTGATGTGTTTAAACCGATCCGGACCCAGCAAAATCCCTCCCCACCATCGCGACACCACCACCATCACGTTCTTTACATTCATAATGTTCAGCTGCGCTTGATTTCCTTCGAAAATCGCTTACCAACAAAGCCATGCGGCTCCCCGCTGCAGATTCCCCGTCATCGTCGTTTTCTTCGATCCACACGCCTCGATTCTCATCGTAGATTCGGTACGCCCACATGTTATGCGTCGCTCTATACGCTCATTCGGTTTCCACGTTTCTACCTTTGGATTTTATTGTTACTGTACAGGTATTCAAGCACTAATTTGGCGTCCTGCTCCGAGTGAATCTCCGCGCAGTGGGCTTGGAACGTGCTTTTGCGATCGGTAAACGCTTCGTCAGAAAACACTTCAGGCTGTTTGTTAGAACAAGGAATCATGCAAGGTACGCAGTTCGGGGGGCGGACGAAACCGTGCTCAGAAACTCCTGAACTGAATTCCTTTACTGGAAGAGGATCAGGGTGAGAAGGTGCTTTGGATTTTGAAACACTGTTCGCTCTGGGAGAGAGCCTAGGTTCGGGCGACACTTCCGAAGCATCGCTAATTGAGAGAAAAGAGCCAATTCTACTTTTCTTGCAACGCCTTGGGCTGGACATTCTCACGAAGCCATTCCACCCAGTTATAAACAATAACTTGACCTGGGTTCTCTGCAAACTGTTCCATCTAGAATGAAAACGCCAGAATGAGCAAATACCAAGGTTTCTTCTATTTTCGCAATTTGATCATCCGAAAGCCACTCGGCATACACTGTAAATTTAGGGTAGCACTCAGAGGGATATTGTTTATGGTAATGAACTGTGAGCGTTAGTTCGGAGCGTCCTTTGTCATTTGGAATAGTAATCTTAAAGGAGTTAGGAGGGATTCTACTCGAATTACGGCTGATTCCCAAACTCCCTACTTTGTAAAAGAATCGGCATAGATAGCTTCAAGAGCACAGAGTTCGTCCTGTTGCTGCTGAAAATTATCGTCCTCCATCAACCAAAATCACCACAAAAAAGTGTATGCAACAAACACGCAATAGATAAACAAACGGCGTACCCTCATCCGCAAAATACTGTCCGATCTTACTAAATCCGCTGCGAGGAGTAATAAACAAATAATCACATTCTCCCAGCAGCAACACATCCAGCACCGCCTTCGTCACCGCGTTCTCCGTCACTTTCGTCTTATAAATCCCGCCCACGTGCGATCTCTCGAACCCCGACGTGGTGACGACCATTCCGGGGAACTTCTTTCTCATCAGCTCCTCCTCATCGGACGAATCGGTGGACACAAACAATTTCACGTCCATTTTCCCCTTCGTCCTCCACAGCGCGTTCTTCACGAACCGCTTCAGCTCGTTCAGGAACCGATTCACATGCTTCTGGTCCATAAACGCGCGCGAATCCTTCCAATCGGCGTGTCCATTTCCCATTCGAATGTGGATTCCGATCCGCACGCCGTTCCCCAATTCATCGAGATACGGCTTCATCAACGCGCGGATCGGATCCGTCGGCACGAACATCGAGTGAATGCAGCGATTGTAGAACACATCCACTAAATAGTAGAGCTCGGCACGGCCGTGCGGGAGATCGCCGCGCTCGCGGATGAGCCCGAATTTGCGGTAGAGAGGGAGGTTTCGCTGGACTTTGAAGAGCCGATCGGCCATCACGTGGAGCGTGGAGACGAGAACGGGACCCTCCATGCCGAGGAGACCGAGGGGATCGGCGAAAGGGTCGGGCTTGCCGCGGCCGATGGCGATCTGTTTGTATTCTTCGGTGTAGGAGGGAGGAGCGAATTGGCGAAGGAGTTCTAGAAGGAAAATGGTGGGAGAGAAGGGAGAAATACTCGCTTCTTCTTTGGTGGTGTTCATAAAAGCGAAGGGAAGACCGAAGTTGAAAAGGCGATCTGTGACGATTCGACTTGTAACTAGAGAAGATGAGAGAGCGGGAGAGAAAAAAACATTCGAGATGTTTGTTGGTGATCATCGCGACGAGGAGACTATCGCAGATCCCGATCATTTCGCCGGAGATTCCGGTGGTGCCTCGCTTAATGTAAACGACTTTGTTGTTCGAAGTGTGGGTTCTAGGGCCATGAGAAGTGAGGAAAAGAGCGAACTCCGCTTGGAATTGCTTGAATTCTTCAAAGTATCGGTTCCACTTGGAACGCGTTCCAAATCCGTAGTTGATCTTGTGGAAAAAGTCTTTTGGACGGACGAAGGGAGTGGGAGGAAGGGTCGTTGCATTGAAGGGGGAGGAAGAAAACGGGGTCGATTCGCTGGTCACAGAAGAATCACTGACAGGCGAGTTCTCGCTCTTGGACGCAACTCCAGAGTTCGTAGAACCGCCAGAAACATTGGAAACATTGGAGCCATTGGACTCGTTAGAACCATTGGAGGAAACACTTGACACACTTGATCCGTTAGGATCATTGGAAACTTTCGATGAACTGGAACCACTTAATCCATTCAGTTCGTTGGGATTGGCAGATTCATTATTACCACGCTCGCTCTTTGAGTTTTCACTTATCACAGACTCGGCTGACTTATTCGAGTCCTCACTTTTCACCAACTCGGCAGATTCCATCTGCCCCTGTGCTTTTTCGGCTTGTTTCACCTTTATTAATGGTATAATATTTTTTGCTTCTTTAGCATTTACTTCATCCTTTTTATTGACAGTAATTGATGCCGGGGATTTGGTCATCTTGTTGCTAACATCATCGCCTTCAGAAAGGGGTATTTCCTTAATAACCTTTATCTGGAGTTCGTTGTTGTCATTAATTCCAGACGCTGTGTTATCCGAATGTAACTTGTTCAGCTCTTTCACATTGAAAAAGTGAACAGGAACCTGCTGGAAGTCATTTCCCCCTTTCTGAACAGGCACACCCCGCAAACTGGTAAGGTTCGACAATTCGCTTACAGCAAAAAGGCTGTCTTGCGAAACAGAATGTTGTTGTAAATTATAATATTCTGGAAATCAATATACTAGCACAAAACTACGTAATATACGACTATACATTACAGTGGAAAACCAGGTGTAGCATATAGCAAAAATGATAACAACTAGAGTTTTAACTATATTCCCCATTTTTTAGAGAAAGGGGACGTCCGTTATAACAAAAATACTGAGCCTTGCTAAAATGGAAACTGACTCTGGTAGGGAGTAGGGTATTTAATGCACCACGAATACACGTTCCCATTTTGCTCTCTTGCTGTTGTCTCATAACAACAGAAAATACATCCTATTTCGGGAATCCATAAAACTGGGATAGCTCCTTTTACTTAGAATTAATGCCTATATTCTGGAGATGCTATCAAGTAGAATTCTACGGGTACCACTCAGATCCTTTTATAAACAACATTTTCTAAAGTCGTGTGTTCGTGCTTTTACACAGTACTCTTTTTTTAGCTGACCTAATTTTAGATTCACTGGACAGTTTGGACCGAACACGGAGAACATTGTATCCAATTATCTATCCGTTCCGATTGAAAACTGCCGTACGTTTAGTATCATCGCCCATATTGACCATGGAAAGAGTACTCTCGCCGACGCAATCATGAAACGAGCAGGAAATATTCCTGAGAATGCCCAAGCTCAATTTTTGGATAATTTGGAAGTGGAGCGTGAGCGTGGGATTACTGTGAAGGCGCAAACTGCAAGCATGTTGGTTCGTTCTCCAAAGGACGGCGAAAACTATCTCTTGAATCTGATCGACACGCCTGGACACGTGGATTTTTCATACGAAGTCGAAAAAAGTCTTGTCGCTTGTCAGGGCGTACTCATGTTGGTGGATGCAACGCAAGGTATCCAGGCTCAGACACTATCCACGTTTTACAGTGCAAAGAAGCATGTTTTCATCTCTATTTCCGGCATCATCGATAGAACCTCGACATCATCCCCGTCATCACCAAAATCGATCTTCCTCACGCGGACGTGGCTCGCTGCAAGCAGCAAATCACGGACGTTTTGAAGCTCCCCCCGAACGACATTCTGTGCTGCAGTGCCAAGAAGAATCTCGGCATCGACGCGATCTTTGACAAGGTCATCAGCACCATCATCTGGCCGCAAGGAAGCGTCCAAAACCCGTTCCGCGCTCGCATCTGCGACTGCTGGTACGACACCTACAAGGGCATCATCTGCTCGATTCAGATCGAAGACGGTGAAGTGAATCAGGGCGACAAAGTGATGTTGTTTCACTCCAATCAGCGATTCGACGTTCTCGAATTGGGTCTTCTGCTTCCCTTTTCCGTCCCCATTTCCAAGCTCCAAGCGGGCAATGTCGGCTACATCGTTCTCGGCTGCCGAGACAACAAGCAGATCTATCTCGGCGACACCATCATCCACAACCGCGATTATTCTTCCTCCACCCCCAAGCCCGCCCCGCTTCCCCATTTCTCCACGCCGTCGCGCATGGTGTTCGCCTCCGTCTACCCCGTCGACCAATCGTCCTTCGAGGACATGCGCACCGCGCTGGAGCGACTTCTGCTCAACGACAACTCGGTGAGCGTGGCGCAGGAGTCCAGCCAGGCGTTGGGAATGGGTTTTCGCTGCGGGTATCTGGGCGTGCTGCACATGAACATCTTCCAGGAGCGGCTCTTCAACGAGTTCGGCATGCCCGTTCTCGTCACGGCGCCCTTCGTTCCGCACCGCGCCGTGCTCAAGACCGGAGAAACCATCGAGGTGAACAAACCCTCGGAAATGCCGCCGCCCTGCGACACGCTGCGCATTCTCCAGCCCATGGTGGACGTTTCGGTGGTCTCGCCGTCTCGCTATCTCGGCGATTTGATGACGTTATTCCGCGATCGTCGCGGCACGGAGTCGGAAATCCGCTATCTGGACAATCAGCTCGTGCTTCTGAAGTACCGCATGCCCTGGGCGGAGGTCGTCGTGGACTTCTACGACGTCGTGAAGAACCGGTCCTCCGGCTACGCGTCGCTGGAGTACGAGGACGGCGGCTGGGAGGCCGACGATGTCGTGAAGGTGGACATTCTGCTGAACGGGAAGCCGGTGGACGCGCTGGCCTTCGTGTGCAATCGGAAGCAAGTCGAGAGCAGGGGGAGGGAGATTTTGCTGCGGCTGAAGGAGACTATTTCGAGGCAGCAGTACGAAGTGATTTTGCAGGCCGCTGTGGGGGCGAAGATTTTTGCGCGGGAACGGATCGCGCCGTATCGGAAGGATGTGCTGGTGAAGGGAGGGAAGCTGGTGGGCGGAGGCGATTCGACGAGGAAGAAGAAATTGCTGGAGGCGCAGAAACGCGGGAAGAAGAAGCTGCGGACCATTGCGAATGTGGAGATTCCGCAGGAGGCATTTTTTGCTGTGTTGGATCGAAGTAAATCGAAGTGAAATGGGGGAATGGCTTTGGTTTTGGGTGTTTGTTTGAATAGCATTGAGTGAGATTGTTTGAAAAGGAACAAAGTGTTGACATTTTGGTATATGGGCAAAAGAGGAGAAGCGAGAGCACAGTGATTTTCTTGTTGCCTATTAATAGTCTGGTTTTATTTTTGTGTTGATGACTTTTCACAGATAATTCATTCACCCATTTCTTCACCCCTTTTCACTCATTTCTTCACCCCTTTTCACTCCTCACACCTGTTTCAAACAAACACTCGGAACTCCTAAAAATAGGAATACATTCATTCTTTTTAGCGTCAATGCAATAATAAACTAAAGAAACATTCTATCCCTTACTCTTCTCCCCCATTCCTACTTTCTTTCTTCCTTTCACACACACATTAAAAAAACAGAATCACAGCAAATGCTTGCTCTTCACACGCGGAGCCATCCGCGCCGCCAACCACACCACCACCAAGCCAATCGCCACCCACACCACCGACACATTCCCGCGGGAATCGATCTGCTCCAACGCGACGCCCAGTCGTTTCCCCGCCAAACACATCTGCTCCACCAGAATCGTCTGGATTTCCTCGAGTTCCTTCGCGTTCTCCGTCAGTTTCCCGCTTTTTTTCACCTTCTAAAAATCGCCAATTCCCCGCGGAACCCACCTCCAAAATTGTGTTGGCGCGCGCGTACGACGTGAACGCCCAGCGCAGCAAGCGGTCCTGCGTGATGGGACGCTGCGAGGGATCGAGAACGCATTGGCGGGAAATCGATTCCGCGAGAACCGCGATATAATCCTGGATTCCCGCGGTGAAGGGAAGAGCGATGGGATTGAGCGTCGCATCGGCGGCGCGGTCGGTGAAGAAGTGGAGGTTTTCGATGGAATCGTCGAGTTGGACGGGAATTGTGGAGCCGTCTGAGGGAAAGGGATGATGATCATGATGTACACTGATCCTCACTTCCAGTCGTGTGGAAGGGCTGGTGGAGATCGCCGATGAGATGGACGAGGAAACGGAGGTTTTCGGCCTGGAAGGAAGTGGGAGGGAAAAGAAGCGAAGTACATTTTTTTGATTTGAGGCGAAGAGACGCGTGGTGCGGAGAAACTCGCCGATTTTGGAGAGAAGGTTTTCCTCTCCTTCCCTCCGGAGATGAAGCGAGGACTAGGGAATCAGCAGGAAGGTATGAACTCAAACGGAGAATTGCTTCATATCGACAATGTGCCAGGTCCATGTTCCATTATACGCAGGCTGAAACTTTGCAACATCTGCCCAACAGGCCTTGAGTTGAATGGGAGGAAAAGTATGATACTGCCGAGTACTTGTCAGTCAATCCCTATGAGTAAACGTATTGATGCGACGTGTACATAGTTGTTCTCTTCGAGAGATTCCAATTGGTTAATAGTCTGCCTCTACAATAAAGTAATGCGAGAGAAAACTCGTACCCGTATCGAAGGACGTACAGAATTCAGAGCAATTTGAAGAATCACCGCATGTTGAATATCTACAGAAAAGAACGTGCGGTATTGTGACTGTGCCACGAGAAGGCGCACCCAAGCAAGGTAACAAAAAGAAAGACTCTCATAAACAAACAAATGCAACTAGCACATCTAATACCTGTAATTTTTACACGTCCAAAATCTCCACAGGCCCCGATCCAACGTCCACAAAACTGGGCTTCGGCACTCTCAACGTTCCGTTAACCGCCAGTCGATCATGCAATCCCTTCATTCCCAGCCCCGCCAGCTCTTCCGGCAGCTCCACCGAATGAAACTCCGCATAAATCAGCGGCGTAAAGATCTTTTCGTAGGACGGCGACATGATCCGCGTGGGCGAAATGTTTCTCTTCTTGGCGACCCAGAACATGCAATAAACGACGATGACCTATCCCTCAGACGACGCCTGCACCCGAACGATGGTCTCTACGGCGAACACGGCGAAGAAAATGGCGATGAACACGCGCGCCATGTGCTGCTGATCCTCATACGCGAGCCCAAAACACGCCGCGTGCTGCGCGTTCGCTAGATAGGCGTCGCTGCACCCGTCAGTGAAGAGCGAGGCCGAAATGACGGGGTCGAAGTTCAATCGGATCTGCGTGTCAGTAGCGAGAAAGCAGGAAAACGTCGATGGGCACGAGCGAGGAATTGAACACGGGCGAGTAGAGATACGGCGACCACGCCTTCGACGCGAAGCATCCCACGTCCTGCGAGGAAACGAAATCGCTTCGATCCAACGCGTAGCGCGTCCCGTTGAACCGCAGCCGATAGCACACATTGCTCAAAAAACGCGTGATGTTGCAGATGTCGCGCTCGGCCTCCCAGACGCCGCTTCGCTCCGAGCACAGGTCCTGGCAGTCCTCCGTGGAGGTGCAATGCAGATTGATGCGCGAGAGCTCTTCGTGGTGGGTAAAGGAAAGAGTGTCTGTGAGGTACGTCGCGTTCAAACCGTCTCCGATAGAAATTCGCTCGGTCTCGTGAGAGAAGGGGAGGTAGGTTCGAAAATAGCTCGAGGACGAGTAAATACAACCGCTTCGCGGGTCGCCGGTACGGTTGCAGCAGTCGCTGACAGGAAAAACGTCTCCATTGAAATCGGTTGTTAGGGACATCGCCGTCTCATTCAAAGAGAAAGAGGCGTCCAAAAAGTCGTGGCTCACCATTATCCAAGCCTCCGCTCGGCTGTTGTACCTAAAACTCACAAGGAAACACAGCGCACACAATTCAATCAGTTCAGGTCTATGGTTAGGAGATCGCGAGATGATTACACCGAGAAACAAAAACACGAGAGGGGAGAGACACAACAAAAAGGGAAGACTGATATACTTCTCTGACAGCTTCCTGTAGTTTACTCCACGGGCAAAATTGTTGTTTTCCATAAAAGGAGTTTAGGAAACAATGGAAGTCTAAACGTTCACGAACGTGTCGTTTGATAATGGTATTGTGATACGATTTGAATTATTTGGATTACTATATTTTTATTTTTGTTTTTCTAATATCAGAAGATTCAGAGAATAGTAGAATCTGCACACTCCAATATATGTCCTTTTTCTGGATTCTTCACTTCAACTTTATCTATTCTTTGTAAATCATGCATCTGATGTACGTATTTGGATTTCCCTATTCATTGTAGCGCAGCACTACTCCTAATCCTCATTATCGGTGTGATCGTCTATGTCCTCTTATACAATATTCGAAAAACGAGTGATATCATAGTGTAAATCCTTTGTTGCATAATTTTTGATGCGTGTAGCGAGGAATTCGTTTCTCCTAAAGGACAATGGAAACGGATCGCATCGGAGGTCGTTTCTGTGGCGAAAGTGAGGCAACAGTACCAAGAAGCCCGGGAATGGTACGCTCGCCAAAACAGAAAGTTTCAAGTATTGCCTTTTTGTAAAGCTTGATCCTAGTCGAAAAAGTCAAATCGGGATCCTGTTGCCTCCACTCCCTTTTTCCTTCAGAGTGTATCCGAGCTGCAGATGAGCTCCATTTCGCAAATGAAGACGTTCAAGCGAAATGCGGACAAGCGTTCAATTTCGGAGGAAGAGCGAAACATCCTGCGTTTTATGGAAGCGTTTTCTCTCTAGTACACTCATCATTTTGTTTTTTGTAATGCTTTAGCGACGTGACGTCCAAGGAAATCTGCTCGCTCTTTGCATCCATCGACCGTGTCTATATCCCCAAGGACACTCTCATCGTGGAGCCCGGGCAGACCTGTTCCATGTATGTTCTCTCCCCTGGTTTCCTCATTTCCCCAGTCTCCTCATTCTCTCCGGAACCCTCCAAATCTCCGAGCAGGGAAAGGAAGACACGCTCTGGTCGCGTCCCTCCCCCGACTCCTTCCTCCTCTTTTCGGAAGTCTTGCTTCAACTTCTCGATCCTTCTTGGAAAAGCGTTCAGTTATCAGCCCTCCTTGATCCTAGTCGATCACTGTACGCGCAGTCACCAACGTGGAAACCCTCGTCTTCACTCCGCATTCCCCGCTCTCCTCGGAACAACACAAAATCGTCTCGAATTTGGTCAGCACGCAAATCTACCGCATTCAGCGCGCTCTTCATTGCGACGCTTTGCAGTTTTTTTTTTGAATTTAATTCTTTTTGTAGATCCCTCTCCTCCATTATGGGCGTTTCAGAGGACACAACCGCTCCGATCGGAACACTGTTCCCGGAATTGGCCGCTGCGCTCGCCGCCGAGTCGGTTTCGCTGCCGGAAGTCGAGAAAATCGCGGGAGGAGACGGCGATATGGTGCTGTCGCTGCGCAAACACAAGATGGTCGCGATTCCTCCCTACACGATGTATGTCGTCGCGCTCTCCTCTCCCTCAGAATCGTGATTCTGCACGGCCGAATCCTCCATCCCGAGGGCGAAGTCAGCATTCTGGTAGGTTTTGCCGAGTCGGGTGAGGATTTCCCAGTACAAACCCGGCGATTTGCTGGTGCGTCGCGAGCATCTGACGTACTACGTGGACTCCGAGGCCGCCACGCTGCTGTTCGTGCCGTACCGCGGGGATCTGGACGTGCTGACGGACGGCTGTCTGGCGTTTCTGATTCGCTACTTCGCGCACTTATTCCAAAAAAAGTACCCTTTTCTGGACCACAGCATGGAGTGGCGGGAGTTGGCCCGCGGCACGTGCGTCATCCGCGCGGAGGAGCCTGTGGACTCTGCGTAAAATCGGCGGGATTTCTGTCATTCCAAGAATCATCCTGATTTCGGGCCGCGTGCGATCGACGCAGCAAACGGCGCGATCCCCGCGGTACCGGCTGTTCTACCGACTGTCCTACGACGGCGGGCACGTGTTCAGCGAGGCGGAGAAGGAAGCGATGGCGCACGCGATGGAGGGCAAATCGGAGACGGTGATTAGCGTAAAATCGGGGGTATTTCTGGCATGGGTAGGAGTACGGACACGACATGGTTCTGTTCTTCCGGCATTGTCTTCGCTCCGCGCCCGCGTCGATCAATTTGTACTGTGGTAGGCGTTTCGTTTCCCCGTCTGTGAGCGAGACGCACGGAACTGATCCGGTTACCGCGGGAAATGCTGGTGCGGCTGATGCAGCAGCGCCCGATTCCGATGTTCCGGTACATCGAGCAGCGCGCGATCGACCTTTCCATCAAGCGTCCGCGCGTGATATCCACGCTCCCCGCGGGAACGTCCTTAACGCCACGTGGAGAACATCGCGATCCTCGCGGGGACGCAGAACACGGCTTCGCTGACGCAGTTTTCGCGCCTTCTTTACGCGGCGCTGCACGCGATCCAGCCCGCGGCGCTGATCACTTCGGCCGACCGCCATCGCGTGAGCACGCTGGCCTCACAGGAGGGCGTGCAGCAGACGGTGCTGGTGGGAGACAGCTTTGCCGCGGGGTGGAACGAGAAGTGCCTGGACGTGGTAGGAACCGCGGGGAGGCGTGCGAAGCAGAGCGACGCGGTGCTGCTGGTGGTGAACGTGTGCGACACGCCGCTGAGCGCGGGAGATTACGAGCTGCTGAGCGCGCAGCTGTGCGGGATTCGCCGCGAGATCGTGTTTCTGCGGGAGAGCGAAGACGAGGTGAGCGAGGCGTTCTACGAGCGGAAGATCGAGGAGTGGAAGCAGGTCTTGTACGCAGAGTCGCTCTGCTTTCAGCGGTAGAGTCAAGCTGGCGCCGCAGAAGGTGCACCACGTCGTCATTCACCGCGATTCTCCGCGCATCGACCTCAGCACCAACCGCAGCGACGTGCGGCGCCTCGCTCGCATTCTCACCGACACCGCCGTCGGCCTCGTGCTCAGCGGAGGCGGTGCCCGCGGTTATGCGCACGTGGGCGTGCTGCGCGCGATGGAGGAGCTCGCCATCCCCGCGGATTTCATCGGAGGCACCTCCATGGGCGCTTTCGTGGGCGGGATTGCGAGCGGGAACCGCGGGGATTACTATCTGACGAGGAAACGGGCGAAGCAGGGTGCCGCCACTTTGGCGTCGCTGGCGGCGCAGCTGTGCGATGTAACGCTGCCGGTGCTGAGTCTGGTGGGTGGAGAGGGAGCGCGTGAGGGGTAGACTCGGGGAAATCTGATTAATAAGGTGGTGAAGGATGCGGTGGGAAGTCGGCTGATCGAGAATTCGGTGATTCCGTACTTTTGCGTTTGTAGCGATATTACGAATTGTCGAGTGCGGGAAAGAAGAAAGAGTGAAGCGTAGGAGCTGATTGCGAAGGATGGACCCATGTGGAGATTCGTGCGAGGATCGATGAGTTTGTTAAGTGTATTTCCGCCCATCGGTGATGGAACGGTTTCTTTTCGTGTTGTTTGTTACGGAGTAGCTGCCACAGCCGAACATGCTGGTGGATGGCGGGTATTGCAACAACGTGCCCTCCGATGTTATGCAATCGCTCTACCACCCGAAGGCGATCATTACGGTGAATGTCGAGGGCTATCCGGAAGATGACCATTTCCAAATCCAGGACACGCAGTCCGGGTGGAGTCTCTTCTTCAAATCTCTATTCCCGAGGCTGTTCGGAGAGCAAATCAGCAAATCCAATATCCAGCAGAAACTATTATACACATGGAGCGAAAACAGAAGAGCCGATAATTTACTGGAGAATTCGGACGTTGTGATCCGCCCGCCTCTCCACGATGTCCACCTCGCAGATAACACACGCTACGACGAAATTGAGGATCGAGGTTACAACGAAGCAAAGCAGCGGCTTACGGAGTGGCTCCGACTCATTCCAGAGCAATCGTATTGATTTTTGTGGGAGAAAGTTCCGCGTAGCACCTTGCACAATGCACTCTTCGCAGTACCCAAGTATCCTTTTACGGATCGGCACGGCTCTCTCGCCCGTGCATCTTCGTTCCATTGATTTAGTAATTCCTTATTTTTTTTATTATATAAAAATCTCTCTTTACTTCATTTTGTATTGATTTATTTTTGGTGATGTTTGTTGGCAAAAGGAGTTTCATTTTAGCGGCCCCACATTTTTTTGTTCTTTTCTAAATGGCTTCTATTATCGAGAAGATCAAGGGAGGAATTATTGTTTCCTGCCAGGCACATGAGGAGGATGGACTGTATGGACCGGAGAATATGGCGTTGATGGCCAAGGCTGCGGAACTCGGCGGAGCTGTCGGTATCCGTGCCGACGACCCGAAGCATATTGCGGCCATTCGGAAAACCGTCAAGCTTCCCATTATTGGAATTTACAAGGAGGATGTGGACGGTTACGAAACGCGTATTACTCTGAACATGGACCGTGCTCGAGAGATCTTCGAGGCAGGATCCGATATTATCGCCCTGGATGTCACCAATCGTCCTCATCCATACAACACAACCGGAATTGAAATGATCAAGCAGATCAAGGAGCAGTTCGGATGTTTGGTGATGGCCGATATTTCCACCTTCGAGGAAGGTGTTGCCGCCGCCAACGCTGGCGCGGATATCGTAGCCACGACCCTCTCGGGGTACACTTCCTATTCCCCGCATATCACGGGTCCTGACTTCAATTTGGTGCGTCGTCTCTCTCAGGCTGTGAAGGTCCCTGTGATCTGCGAGGGCCGCATTTCCAGCCCGGAGCATGCTCGCCGCCTCCTCCACATGGGCGTTCACGCCATCGTGGTGGGCTCGATGATCACGCGTCCCATGTGGATCACCAAGCAGTACGCGGACGTAATGAAGCAGACGGTCCGCTCCCTCACCTCCACGGCCTTCGCCCTGGACATCGGAGGCACCAAGATCGCCGCTGCGATCGTCTCCGCCTCGGGCGAGCTGCTCGCTGGCCCCATCAAAGCGAGCTGTCCGCAGGACAGCAGCGAGAGCGTGGTGCGAACCTGCGTGGAGCTGCTCCACACCCTGCAATCCAACAGCAATGGCGATCACAACAGCCAGCCTTGCTGCGTCGGAATCAGTACCGGCGGTACGATCAACGCCAACGGCGAGATCATCTACGCCACCTCCTCGATTCCGCAGTGGCAGGGCGCTCCACTGCGTTCCATGATCGCTGACGCGATGAATCTCCCCGTGGTGGTCGTGAACGACGGGAATGCGGCCGCGCTGGCGGAGGCGCGCCTGGGTCTCGGCGCGGGCAAGCGCAGCACGCTGTGCCTGACCGTGGGAACGGGTCTGGGCGGAGGGTTCGTGCTGGACAACGAATTGATGTGCGGAAGCGAGCGCATGGCGCAGTGCTTCGGACACGTGATCGTGAACCGGGAGGGGCGGAACATCGGCGAGAACGACGGCGCCGCGGAGTCGTACATCAGCGGCCGCGCGCTCTGCGTCGAGTACAACCGGCTGGTTCCCGCGGGACAGCGCGTGGAAACGGGGAAGGAAGTGGGAGAGAAGGCGCTGGCGGGGGAGAGCGAAGCGGTGGAGGCGGTGCGCATCGTGGGAGAGTGGCTGGGCGTGGCGCTGGCGTCGATGTGCGCGTGTTTGAACCCGGAAATCGTGGCGATCGGCGGCAGCGTGGGCGAATTGGACGCGTTGCTGCTGGATCCGGCGAGACGAGCGTTCCGGAAGAACGCGTTCGCGACGATCAAGGAGACGCCGATCGAGAAGGCGAAGTTTGGAGGCGACGCGGGGCTGATTGGAGCGGCGTTGTTGGCGTTACAGCGATGTTAAGAGAAGAAGAGTTTGTTCGAACAAACAAGACACTTGCGATTCTGGGGATTGAGCTCCTGGGCCAGCCAGTCGAAGCCTTCTTTTAGTCCTTTGCCGAGTTTCGCGTCACTTTCCACGATGGTCCACTTACGATCACGAATGTTCGAGAGCTCGAGAGCTTCGGTGATCTGGATGAGAAAGAAGCGAAGTGTACAAACCTGGTTTGCCTTAAGAGCGCCTTTTACATCTTGCTTGTTCGCAAAAACGAGGAGACACACGTCTTTCAGTTCTTCTTCCTAGAAATGAATCTCTGGAGCGGTGGCTGCTTACATTCAAAATCGCCATCAGCTCCGTCTTCGCTATAGGAATACGATCAGTGTCAGCACTATCTACGACAAATACAACTGCGTCTAGATCGTAGCGTGTGGGAAGTTCCTATTACCGGTGTTTGGATAATAACATCTCCAGAAGGGGCGAATACTTGTTTGTCCTCCCAAATCCCACATTTGGAATGTAAGATTATTGTACTTTATCTAGGAGGTGAGGCAACACACAAAGCGGTACAGTTTGAACATTGAACCCAATGGTAGGTACAGTTGAAATGGGCTCGTTCAGCTGGAGTCTATCTGCGAGTCAAGCGAGGGAGAGCACGGCATACATAGAATAGTCGTCTTACCAGCATTATCCAAACCCAGGACAAGAATTCTCTGCTCCTTCATTCCAAAGAGTGAGTCCAAGAGACTAGAGAAAAACACACCCATATTCAGAATTAAGAACGCAAACTATGATAACTCCTTGAGTGAAAAAAAGCTGACTCCATCAAACAATTTTAAAACACAAATTTGCCATTACTATATAGCAACGCGTATAATCTGAAAACAGGAACGGCTTTCCTCCTGGCGATCATTCTCTCTCCGATAGCATCTTTTCCAAGACTGCAATGCGCTGATCTCGATTCTTCACGGCTTCGATCGTGTCCTTCGCGACTCCCTTCAGTTCCTGGTATAAATCATACAATGATTGATATTCCACTTTCATGCCCCTGTATTTCTCTTTAATCTCGTGCTGCGACTCCATCGACCGAGCTGCCGTTTCCGACAGTGTTTGAACTCGGTCGTTCAGTGTTTGGATGGTCTTCCCCAGTTTCTCTCGTTGGGCAGCGAGTTCCTTCGAATGTTCTCGATTCGTTTTATCGAGTTCCGCTTTGTGCAGCTGCTGCTGCTGGAGCTGCTGCTGCTGGAATGAGTCTTGAAGGAGCTCGATCTCTTCGATGTGTCGCGCTCGCTCGGTTTCGAGCTGCGTTTGAAGAGATTGAAATTGTGCGAGAAGAGAAGAAAGGGGGATGGAATCGATGGGTGAGAGATCGGGTTTTGATTCAAATTCGAGTGGGTATGAATAAAGATTGTCTTTGGCGAAGTCGGCTGGGTTTTGGAACTCGGTTTGCGGGTCGAATTCCAATTCCGTTCCCCCTTCTGTTTGGGTTTGCGGGGTGAAAACGACTTCGCTATCGACTTCAAGATGGTTTTCATGTGTGTGATTGGGTATGTATTCATATTCATGATTAAGTATATGCTCATGTTCACTTCTGTAATCGTGATCATTGTCATTATCATATTCACATTCATTTTCATTTTTGTATTTATTTTTGTATTCCTGTTCATTTCCATTTTTATTTTTATTTTTATTTTCATTTTTATGTTCATTTGTATTCATATATTCATTCTCATTTGCATTTGCATTTGCATTTACAATTTCATTCTCATTCCCATTTTCATTTCCTTCCACTTCCACCACTTCCCCTGTTTCCACCGTTTCCACCATTTCCCTTGTTTCCACGCCATCTCCACCACCACCTCCGCGCTTTGCTTCCTTTTCTTCACTCGCCACCCCTCCCTTCTTCTCTTTCTCTCTTTCCGCCTCTCTCCTCCATTCCTCCTTTTCTTCGCGCAGCTTCGCGATTTCCTCTTCGTACTCCCCATTCAACGCCTGCGTTCGCTCCAGCTCCTCCCTCATCTCACTCAATGCCTCTTCGCGCTCCTGGAGCCGTGTCCGCAGCTCCTGCATTTCCGTTTGGTGCTTCTGCATAATTTTCTCGAGATCGTTCGCCATCTGGCGGGTCAAATCCGCTTGCTGACCTTCCAACTGCTGCATGGCGTTCACAACCAGCTTCTGCTGCTGACGCTGCTCCATTTCCAGCTGGTGCTTCAAGTCTTTGTTTTCTAAACAACATCACCCCTCCCATCGAGTACCTTTGATCAGGAACACCAAAATATTCTTCAGCTCGTTTTCTCGCTGTTCCTGCGTCGGTTCTTCCCCCAACATCTGAGTTGGCACAGTCATTCGTCGCTTTTCCACACTCCTCACGACTCCTTGGCTCGCTCGGCTTCTGTTTCCATCCACCATGGACACAAACAGCGGAACCGTTCCCAAGGTTCTTCGGCGAACGATCGGCTTCTCTCCATCGCCGCTCTCTGAACTATCCTCGTGGCACTGATCGATCAAATCCTGACAAAAGTCTACATGCGGATGAGAGATGCGAGGATTCACTCAAGCTCTTACCTTCGTGATGATCTACAGTTTCCACGTAATCACCCTGCGTCCCGAACGACGGTTTGGACTGTACATCACTATCCATATCCTCCTGATAGCTTGGGGATTGACTCGTACTGAACATGCCAGCCACTTTGTCAAAAAAGGAGAGGATTATCAAGCTTCTGCCTCGACGCAAATTTTTGTGATTCCAAAAATGCCTTATAAATCGGGTAGGATTCAAATTCCTCTCATCCATTCCCAACTTGTAAAATTGTCTATGGATAGCAACGATCACGAGAAGCTTGACAATTCAACACAGCAGGTTCGTTGTTCAAGGAGTGTGCGTTCTCATGTGTAGCCTAGCCTTCCGCTCGATACAGAGTTCGATGGCGACAATATGAGGAATGCTGCCGAAGTACAGGAGGAACCAATTCCCAATCGGGATCAATTTGTGGATGTGAAACGAGTGAGAAGAAATTTAATTTTCTGACCTGTGTAGAGTGTGAGTTCAAATGAAAATGACAGTTACGAGGATAGTGTTGACGGTCTGTGTAAGAAGCCGTCTGCGAAATCGTCTAGCATCAAAGAAAAAGCGCTTCCTAATTATATGCGTGTCACAGAAAGTAGCATGCGCCGCGAACAACTCCGCATTGAGGAGGATCGTCGTCGCTCGCATCTTTCCACCCCATCTCGCCGGTATTCCACGCCAGCCAGCCCAGTATATGACAAAAACAACCTCCCTCGCTATATGCGCGACACGGCGAGTTCCCGCCAGCGCATCTCGGTCGCTCCCTCCCCCGCTCCGCGCGTGGCTCCAAACCGCATCCGCGAAGTGGACAAGAACAACCTCCCGCGCTACATGCAAGAGACGGCGTCCTACCGCAGCCAGGTGGCGAAGGACCCGGCCAAACGCCGCGTGGACCCGAAGCAAATCAAAGAAGTCGACCTGCAAAACAAGCCCAGCTACATGAACGAAACGCGCTCCTACCGCTCCAAGGTCCAGCCCGACCCCCCCAAGCCACGTGTCCATCCGCGCCAAATCAAAGAGGTCGACACCGCCAATAAACCGCGGTACATGCAGTCCACGCAGGCCTGGGAGAACCGCATCAAACCGGCGCCCGTCGTTGTGCCGCGCACGCCCGTTCCCGCCAAATCCATCCGTCCCGTCGACTCCGCCAATCTCCCGCGGTACATGCAGCTCACCGAGACCGCCAAAATGCACACGATAACCGCGGCTACGCCGTCCAAACCGGGGACTCCCGCGGGATCGAGTCGCCGCGTGAGCGTGGGGCGCGACAAGGAATCCCCGCGGTTCATGAACGCGACGCAGAGCTACGTGGCGCTTTGCCGGCAGCGCGAAGAAGAGCGAAAGCGGCAGGAGGAGGAGGAGGCGGAGCGAATGCGGCGGCGGAAGTCGCTGGCGGTGCGGTGTACGGAGTGGGAGCAGAAGCGGAAGAACGCGGAGCAGGTGGCGATAAAGCGGAAGGAGCGCGTGCAGCAGGAAGTGCTGGAGGAGCGAAGAAAGACGCGCGGCGGAGCGCAGCCGCGGTTTATGCAGGACACTGCGTGCTCGAGACAGTTGGCGAGGAAGTGGCGTGTTTGTTGAAACAAAACAGGGGAGTGGGGGTGCTGCTTGAGCTGCAGCTCGAACTGACGGAGCTTCTTGATGAGGTTTTGGTAGGTCGAGAAGGGAACGCCGGTGGAGAGAGAGGAACCGTCGCGCGATTTGTGGAACAGGCTTAAAAGGTAAACGCTGGTGTAGAGGCAGGAGTATTCGGTGAGGTCGATCTTTTCTGGAGGGTGATCTTTCCCGTTGAGCAATAAAAACCTACTGCCTTGGTGAACGTCGTTGATCACTTTCCGAATTATGTTCGCGTTGCGCTGAAGGATCTTCTGGATCTCGTCCGCAGGAAGGAGATATGCTTGCTGTCCTTGCTCCGTTTTGATTGGCTGGACCGTAGGGATATATGGACTCACAGAAGAGGACGCAGAGGCGGCCGAGGAAGCATTTCCTTCCTCCGGCGCTGCTGTGAGGTTTGGAGATTGTGATTGGGGCTGTGTGGTTTGTTGAGCTGGAGCCACCGGTTGATTTGGATAGGTTTGGTATATAGATGAAGACGCATTGTAAGAGGGCGTGGTAGACGCGGGAGAATTTTGAACACCGGAATCCGGCCTGGCTTGGTAAGCGTCTAGTCCTCAAAAAGGCAAAAAAGGACATACTCCCCTGAACCTCAGCCGTAGGAGCATAGGTCTCTAAAAATCAGCATCTTCCCGCAAACAAACGTGTTGGGTATGAGCTATTCATATAGTCAGGCTGCATTCAAAACTTGTTTGCATTGTTTTATTTTATTTTATTGATGGTTATCGATTGCATTATTTGTTCGAAACGTGGTTGCATCATTCCAATCTTGCATGTATCTGTATGTGTTGCGAATTGCGAATTGCCTCGTGCTCTTTGCCCTTTGCTCCTTATTCCTTGTTCCTTGCCAAGGACTCACACTTGCCCCTCCCACCTTGATTCCAACAAACACCGAACAGTTAACACCACTACCAAGCACACACCTACGAACTCTCGATCTCCTTCAGCTCCCGAATCAGATTGTCTACAGTCTCTTCATCCTCAAACCGAATATAAGGGAATTCATCCTTTATCTCAAACAGCCTCATTCGATTCTTCACGGCCGTCCCCTCGTTGCCCTTCATGCAGAGCTTATTCATCGCCCTCTTCCAGATCTGCTCCGCCTCATATCGCTTTTTAAAGAGAATTTGCTCGATCTGGTGGTCCAACTGATCGCCTCGGCACGTCAGGTTCAGCTTCTCGCAGGTTCCGTCCATCTGGTTGTTGACCGTGATGGAGAGCACGCCGTACTTATCGAGCTGGAACGACATATTGAACTTAGACTTGTCTTTCTCCACATCCTCGTCCAGACTCAGCTCGAGAATGCCGATGCACTCCTTCTTATTAGTGACTTTGAACACGTCCAGTCGGAACTGACTCATGTTGCTGTACGGCAGACTGCACGTTCGATTGACTCGGATGAAGTGGTCCTTGATAACGTGCTCCTTCTTGAAAATGGTCTCGTCGTTGAACCCGTAGTTCACTTCGATGTTGTACGGCACCTTGAAGATCGGATCGCCGTTCAAGCTGACCGGCTCCACCTTCACTTCCGAATCCACCCAGTCACCGATCAGATCGTTCTCCTTCATCAGCTCCGCAGCGTAAATAGCCGCGCCCTGCGCGACGGCCTCGTCCAGATTGACCAGCGTGAAGTCGATCGGCCGCTTGAAGTAGTCCGCGAGTTTCTGCTGGATCAAGGGGATTCGCGTGGAGCCGCCGACCACCACGATCTCGTCGATGTTGTTGACCGTGAAGCCCATCTGGCCGAGGGAGCGATCGATGTAGCCCAGGGTTCGGTTCACGTCCTCCTCGATCAGCGTGTTGAATTCGGCTCGGGTGAACACTTGGTTGTACGTGTAGGACTCCCTGGTCAGCGGATCGATCGTGGTGAAATTTATGGTATACGTCTCCGCGTCCGACAGCGATCTCTTCGCCTGCTCCGCCAGGTCCTTCAGCCGTCGCAAGTCATTCTTTCGAGCAAACACATCGTGGGTGGGCTGCGCGTCCTTGATCTTATCACGGATGTACTGCACGATCGCATTATCGAAATCGGCTCCTCCCAGGTGAGAGTGTCCCTCGCTGGTCAGCACTTTGAACTTGCCGTTCTCGATGCGAACCAAACAGCAGTCGAACGTACCGCCTCCGAGATCGTACACCACAATCGTCTGGTTCTTGACGTGGTGAGCATGCCAATACGCAATAGCGGCCGCAATAGGCTCCGGGATGCACTTCTTAATCTCCAGACCCGCCTTCTGACCGGCCTCAATGGTGGCAGCGATCTGCTCCTTTCGGAAGTAAGCAGGAACAGTAATCACAGCTTGCTTCACGTTTGCGCGATAGGAGGCCAAAGTTCGCAAAATTTGCGCATCCACATCTACTGCAGAAAGAGTCACGTCTCCTCCACTTCCCGTAACTGAATAGAGAGGAGTGTCATCTGGACCTTCCACGATCTTGAATGGGTAATAGTATAAATCCCGGATAATGTATTGATCGGACATCTTGCGTCCGATAATACGCTTGGGCTCGTAAATCTCGTTTCCAGGCAGATTCTTGCTTTGCATATTTCCTCTTGCTCCGGTCAAATATGTGATTTTATCTTGAGTACTGGTCTTGCTTACGATCACTCTAGACGGAGTCATTCTCAATTGGTTCCGGCCAACGATAACCTCCAGCTGGTTATTTTGATAGGTATAGATTTCGGAATAGGTGGTTCCCAGATCGATACCAACAATAATACTTGTATCTGCCATGTGAAAAAAAAAACTGAGAAAAGTAGTTTCACAATTATCATAATATATATAAAAAGAAACGATCCCATAACAGGTATTATTTTTCCCTCCATATTGAAATAACGTGATGTTGTTCCATATCTTTTTATTTTCTATCCATGAACGGAGAAGACCCGAGCGTAGTTAATGAGAAGGAGCCAAGTCCAGAAGATGGAAAGGGAAGTCAAGGGTTGAACGAGACAAGTGCTCTGGAAACGGAAGACGAGTCTATTCTATACTTCACCCAAAAGATTGTCGAAGTGGAGAAAGAATTGGATCAAGTCGTTGAGCGTACTGTACTATCGGCAAGTAAGATGTAGATATGCAATCTGACTTGGAGCAGCTGTTCACTCAATTGGTTTCTTCCCTCGTAGAGTCGATTCAGGAGAGTTTGGGAAGTGTTCATACGATGGTGGATGAGTATGCAAGCCTTGTGGTTTGGTATTGTAGTATTCGCGAGAGAAATTCCAAACGTAATGACACGGCAGCCAATTTGCGCAATGCGGAAGAAGCGATCGAGTCGTTTTATCGTTGCTTAGAAAGCCATGAGTGAAGCAGATCCAGGTTAGTTTACATACACGTGCTTGCATGTTTGTTTTGCAAACTACTTTTCTTGCGTATGGATACTCAGATTGTTGAGTCAATTTTATCTGCATGGGACACCGTCGTGAATAGAAAACTATCATGCTTTCAAGGCAGTGACGAAGAAAAGCATGTGTTTCCTATTCGGAGGTTCTAGCTTGTAGAATCTTTTAATTTTGCTTGAGGAGTTCAAGAGGCAGTTTGCCAGTAAAATGAAAACTATCACACTCAACAGGGAGTCGAGTCGAATGCTCTATTTTGCGTTGATCATAGATGACTTAGCGGAGCGTGCTGTGATGCTTCAAAACAGCGTTATGATGCTAGAGAGTGAAATTCAGAACCTGAGCTCAGAATTGGAAAACTACAGGCAGTGTGTACGTGCGAATAATTTTCCACAATATAGACACAACAGATCATCGACGACTGTCCTAGGGAGATCGATATCTCCTCCTGCGTCCACAATACGGAGGAACAGTACTGAAGACGATGAAGATCTATATGCTTTAGACGCAGCCATTCTTCGTATCGAGTGGGACTTCAAACAAGCTTGTCGAAGGATGTGATGGAAGTGGATTCTTTGATGGATTGCTAGGTAGATTGTAACAAATCTAGAAAGTGGACTGCTTATGGAGACTGGAAATGAAGTGCGTCGAACTCAGCGAACCATTGCAGTCATTAAGGTGCGTTTCTTGTTTGTGGATCTTGATATGTATAGTCAGATCGCGCGAAGGGGCTCTCTGATTTTGAGCAACTACTGTCCAGTGTTACTTAGAGCCTGGAGCCTGGAGCCTGGAACCTGGAACCTGGAGCCTGGAGCCTGGAACCTGGAACCTGGAACCTGGAACCTAGAGCCTAATACCAATCAACAACATATCAATAAAGATGTACATATACCATAATCATACAATTGAACCAAAACCCTGTTTGTTGAATGAAGATCGCTTCTAGATCCCCTTCCTCCTATCCGTCTGATTCATGTTAGCTACCTGCTTTTGAGCTCTCTTTTCGCAGCCTAGCCACTGCATAACGAGATAAGGCTGAGATTCTCCGGTTCCGCGGTTTTCCGAATGATCTCGCTACAGTCCAGATCAACCTATTTGTCCTAGAAGTCTAGTATTTTTAGTTTCTCCGTTCTCTTTTAGGTAGGGGATGCTTCGCAGAGGGGGTTTTCTCATCGTATAGATATTTTCGAACAATGTCGAACGTTCTTGTAATCGGTGGAGGTGGCCGCGAGCACACAATTGCTTGGAAGCTGGCTCAGAGTGAGAAAGTAAAGCATGTGTTTGTGGCGCCTGGTAACGGAGGTACCGCTTGTTTGGCAAAGTGCTCCAACGTCGCCATAAGCGAGAAAGAGCACGAGAAGATCGTCTCCTTTTGCAAAGATAATGTCGGAATCGTGCAATCTCGTGAGTCGTAGGAGATCTCTTTGGTGGCTGTCGGTCCTGAGATTCCTCTCGTCGACGGACTCGGCGACAAGCTCGAAGCCGCTGGAATCCACTGGTTCACTCTTGGTATTTTGTTAAGATCAGCTTTGGCCCCTGCGCGAAGGCTGCCATGATCGAGGGATCGAAGCAGTTCGCCAAGGACATCATGAAGAAGTACGGAATCCTGACTGCGGAATACGAGTGCTTCACGGATTACGAGAAGGCTCTCGCGTACGTCAAGTCTGTGGACCACCCGGTGGTGATTAAGGCGTCCGGCCTCGCCGCGGGCAAGGGTGTTCTCCTCCCTGAGCGCGGCGAGGAGGAAGCCGCCCTCAAGGAGATCATGCTGGACTCGGCGTTCGGCTCTGCGGGCGACGTCGTGGTCATCGAAGAGCGTCTGGAGGGCGAGGAGGTCTCGCTGCTCTGCTTCACCGACGGCGAGTCCGTGGTGGCGATGCCGCCTTCCCAGGACCACAAGCGAGTCGGCGACAACGACATGGGTCCCAACACGGGGTTTCTCCTTTTCCCCGGTGCTGAGATGTAGAGGCATGGGCGCCTACGCGCCGGCTCCCTGCCTGCCGCCGGTGCTGCGCCGTGAGGCGGTAGAGAACGTGGTGAAGAAGTGCATCGCGGGTCTGAAGGCGGAGGGCATCGTGTACCGCGGCGTTCTGTACGCGGGACTGATGCTCACCGCGAAGGGCATCGAGGTGCTGGAGTTCAACTGCCGCTTCGGCGACCCCGAGACGGAGGTCGTGCTGCCGCTGCTGGACAGCGACCTCTACGAGATCATGCTGGCCTGCTGCACGGGCACGCTGGGAGAAATGGCGATCCAGTGGAAGGACGCGTCCGCCGTGACGGTCGTGGGCGCGTCGCAGGGCTACCCGGGGTCCTACAAGAAGGGATTCGCGATCACGGGCGTGGAGGAGGCGGAGAAGAACGAGGGCGTGACGGTGTTCCACGCGGGCACCAAGCAGAGCGGCGAGCAGCTGGTGACGAGCGGAGGCCGCGTGCTGACGGTCACCTGCGTGGCCGCGACGTTCCGCAGCGCCTTGCAGGGCGCGTACCACGCTCTGGAGCAGATCCACTTCGAGGGCATGCAGTTCCGGCACGACATCGGGCAGCGCGCGGTGCGCGCGGGCGTGCGCGTTGCGGTGCTGGGCAGCACGCGAGGCACCGACATGGCCGCCATTCTGGAGGCGATCGAGGCCGGGAAGCTGAACGCGCAGATCGTGTGCGTGGTGAGCAACATCAAGACGGCGGGCATCCTGGAGAAGGCGCGCGCGGCGCACATCCCCGCGTTCCACATCACCGGGAAGGACGTGTCGCGCGAGGAGCAGGAGGCGAAGATCTGCGAGGTGCTGGAGGACTACGCGGCCGACCTGGTGCTGCTGATCGGCTACATGCGCATTCTCTCCCCGTTCTTCTTCGAGCGCTGCAAGAAGACCGTGCTGAACGTGCATCCCTCGCTGCTCCCGGAGTTCGCTGGCGGCATGAACAACAACGTCCACGAGGCCGTGCTCGCGGCGAAGCGCCTGGAGACCGGCTGCACGGTGCACGTGGTGACCCCCGAGGTGGACTGCGGCCCCATCGTGAACCAGCAGCACGTGCCGGTGTACTCCTTCGACACGGTGGAGACGCTGAAGGCGCGCGTGCAGGCTGCGGAGGGCGTGGCGCTGATCCAGTGCATCGAGAAGTTCGGCCAGGGCGAGCTGACCGAGATGAAGCCGGCTACCGAGAGCGTGAGCTACGCAGATGCGGGCGTCGACATCTCGGAGGGCGACCAGCTGGTGGAGAACATCAAGCCGTTCTGCAAGGGCACCAATCGCCCCGGCTGCAACGTGGACCTGGGCGGGTTCGGCGGCCTGTTCGACCTTCACGGAGCGGGGTACGGCGATCCGGACACGCTGCTGGTGGCGTGCGACGACGGCGTGGGCACCAAGGTGAAGCTGGCGTTCGCGACGGGCATCCACGACACCGTGGGAATCGATTTAGTGGCGATGTCGGTGAACGATCTGATCGTGCAAGGCGCGGAGCCGCTGTTCTTCCTGGACTATTACGCGACGGGCCATCTGGACAACAAGATCGCGACGCGCGTGGTGAAGGGAATCTGCGACGGCTGCAAGCTGGCGCGCTGCGCGCTGATCGGAGGCGAGACCGCGGAGATGCCGTCGCTCTACGCGGAGGGTGAGTACGACCTCGCGGGATTCGCCGTGGGCGCGGTGAAGCGCCAGGACGTGCTGCCCAAGCCGACAGTGCCCGAGATGGTGGTGCTGGGCCTGCCTTCGTCGGGCTGCCATGTAAGCAACGAGCTGTGAGTGGTGATGTCTAGTCGAACGGATACTCGCTGGTGCGCAAGCTGGTCGATCTGTCCGGACTGCAGTACTCGGACCCCTGTCCGTTCCAGCCGGAGAAGACGATGGGCGAGGTGCTGATCACCCCCACGCGGATCTACGTGCGATCCGTTCTGGCCGCCTGCAAGACCAAGAAGGTCGCGGGCTTCGCGCACATCACCGGAGGAGGCCTGATTGAGAACATCCCGCGCGTGCTGGCGCCGAACACCAGCTGCGAGATTGACGCGGGAAGCTGGCCGGTGCTGGACGTGTTTAGATGGCTGAAGGCGACTGGAAAATGCTCAGAGCACGAAATGCTGCGAACCTTCAACTGCGGTATTGGTATGGTTGTGATCGCGGAGAAGGACGGAGTTGAGGAGGTCAAGGCGGCGTTAGAGGCGGAGGGAGAGACCGTGTACGAGATTGGAAGAATTGTTAGCACGCCTGGAAAGAATGAAGTGATTATGAATGGACGTGTGTTCTGCTCTGTTTGTTTGATTTGCGAGAGGGGTGAACGTGTGTGGGTGAGCTGGACGATTCCGGGGAGGTGAGCTGGACGATTCCAGGGAGGTGAACTGGCCGATTCCGGGGAGGTGAACTGGCCGATTCCGGGGAGGTGAACTGGCCGATTCCGGGGAGGTGAACTGAGAGACAGAAAATGGAGTAATAACGCAGCAACCGGCATGTACAGCGTTAATATCATGCGGCATTAGAAGAATGCATAGGAGAAACAAGGAAAGTAACAGGCAAACAAAAAACTACCATAATATCTTCTCTATCTTTGGGGCTGTTGACATCGGATTGGTAGTTTGAAAGTATGACAAATTCAATCGGTACGAAAGTGAGGCAAATGGTGTCTTTATCAACGGTGAGATTACCTGGCGAATTTTACATGCAGAGAGTGATGAATCAAGCGTTAGCTTCGATCGATATGAATGGAACGCGTATCACCGACTGGATGAACAAATGTGTAGGGGTTAGTGCTGATTCCGATCTAGATTCATTCCTACTCGATAGACGATATCAATCTCAACCTAGATGTTGTTTCCTCTTCTTGGAGTGACAAAGTACTCAATGGACTGCAAGATTCTTCTGAAATCCTGGAGGAGAATCAAGGAACCACAAAGTCTCCTAAGCAGGCCATTGATCCAGCGCAGTATGACCAGGTCCGACCATGAACCCTAGAATTGAACTTAGTCTGTACAACAAATATAACTCCATGTCCTACAAAGATGTCAAGGAGGAGTGTACTCGTTTGGGAATCTCGTGCTACGGTCTTCATCAGGAATATGTCAAGAAACTGGTTGCCTATGAAATGGAAAGAAGGGTGTTGAATGTATCTTCATGTTCAGACTAGGGTTTGTCCTCCACCCATCCAATCCCCATCGTTCCTCGAGCAATCAACTCTGCTTCCAGTATTTTTTATCCGCTTCTTGTTAGTCAGATCCTAACAATCCAAACTCATTGCGCCCCGTGCGACCCACCGTTATCATTCCTCCAAGTACTTATTGCTTTCGTTCGTCGAGTAGAACTCACTCCCCCTTCGTCTCTCCAATCTTCTGCCCAAGCTAGCAAACAAAACGCATCCAATCAAACAAAGCAGCCTTCCAGAACTCAAACTGTTCCTGCAACTACTCTACTTCACTCAAAATCAAGTCCTACGCACCAAGCCAAAGCCATAGCAGCCAGCTCACACTCTCCATCTTGTGAGCCTAATGCTTCTTCTACTCCCTTCCCACCACCACCCTTCGTTCCTTCGCTTTCGAGACCCGCTCCTGTCATCCAGTCCCCAGCGATTTCACCTATCCAATCTCCCAAGCAAACACCACTCTCCAGTCCACTTGCGAGGCAATATTTCGTTCCTATCAAAAAGGAAAAGGAACCGCCATCGGTAACGCTTTCTCCATCTTCTCCAAAGAAAAATGCGCGATATGTGGATATCACACAGCGAACCAAAATCCCTGAATGGGCTCGATCCAAGCAGCTGAAAACGGAACTCAGAAAACAATACTGGCTCGAGAGATACTTTGTAGATAAGGAAATGTTGATGAACTGTAGAATGGAATAGTGGATGATATCTTTGCGTTTCCAGAAAAAGTTGACTTGAAAGGTTTGAATTGATAGTATGTTGATAATTATTGTAGACATAATGGGAGGTTATTTACGAAGGAATGCGCCGAGAGGTTCGTCTGCAAATTGGACCGAAGTTGTAAGAGAATATAAACAAGGAGTTCAACAAGACATGGAACTGAGTGACGATGGGATTGTCGCTTTTGAAGATGATTCGAATACTTCTACAGATGATTCACTGCTTTCTTCTTCTTCTTGCTTTGTTTGTTGAAAAGCGCTGTTTCGCTGCAAGATTATTGAAATTGGATGTGAAGTGGGACTTGAATGGAGTGAAGTGAGGAAAACGGGTATTCAATTGTGATTGAATTTTGAACATAATCACTTTGGAAAAAGGGAATAATGTTTGAAGTGTTTTGAAGTGATACTGGATCGAAGGTGAAGAGAACTATTTGTGTAGATGGATTATTAAATAATAGAGATGCTACATACAATATGATATGATGAGTTATTGAAATATACAGTAGAGTAGCCATTGTCATAAGAATGATAGAAAGTAGTAAAGAAAAAAAGTAATGGAATCACATACAATGTCCAAAACTAATTGATAAATGCATTGGCCGATTAGTAAGCAAATCAAATTGAGAATACCAATCATATAAAATACTATCAGTGATAGTTATGATAGAATCAGTGAGAATGGAAGAGACATCTGTGAATGATATGAAAACATTCAAACTCTACTCGAAATTGATTTCAATCGAAGTTCATAGAATGAAATAGGTAGCTTCCCATATCGATCATACACTTTTCCAATACCAAATCGATTATCATCACACCAATATCCTTCATATTCAATCAAACCATTATTATGATAACTCGTTCCATATCCAAATCGTTTCCAATTGATCATTATGCCCTTGTATACCAATATTCCATCATCATCATACATTTCACCATATCCAAATGGAATTCCCAACTTTTTTTCTGTCAATATCAATCCTTCAAATCGACTTCCATGATCCAAATCCACTATTCCTTCTACTACTTCTATGGATTGTTCTTCATTATATGAAATAGCACCAATTTGATGATTTCCAAATACTTTCAACACTTTCTGCTCATTGAGTACAAATCCTTGATTCATAAATATTCCATTATTGAATTGCAATACTACACATTCTCTATTACTCAAAATGAGTGAAATCCAGCCATTTGGTTTCATTTCTTTACCCAAGCATCCCTGCACACTTTGAATAATGGAACTATCAATTTGATCGTTATCAGTAATAGAATTCTGAACCGTCGCCAAGGGATTCTCCGACTGGAGCATCACCCCCGCTCTTCCTAACGGCATGTCGATCAACCCCAACTCCGGTCTCATTGCGGGAACCGTACCTTCGGGTATGGAGGTGGGTCAGAAGACTTACACCGTGTCGGCTACGCTGGCGGGTGCGGAGGAGCCTGTGACCAGTGTGGTCTCTATCAACTTCCATACCTGCTTGGGCAATGGATATCGTCGTGTGAAGATCGATGCGGTGAAGGGAAATCGCCGTGCTTCTCAGTACTATGAGATCGTGTCCAATGGTACTGTGGTGGAATCGGTGGTCTTGAACGATATTTATGGAAGCTACACGGAGAGTGATACGTCGTCGACCTCCCAGACTAACTATTTCTGTCTGCCTGAAGGAAGCTATGAGATGGTCTTCTATACTTATAATGGAGTTGAGAAATGGGTGGACGGATCGTCCATCACGCTGAACACCTACACGCACACTGCGGCGAGCTTCTTCATTGGAGTGTATTCTGGAATGAGAAATGGCGATCGCATCACGTTCTCGAACAAGTTCTTGATGAGCGGAGAGATGAACAAGTGGACTTATCTGGCTGACGGAACGGTGCCTGAGGGATGGAACACTGTGGAGTTCGGCGGTTCGTGGACGACTCTGACCGAAGGCAACACGGTGTCGCAGTCTGCGTGGCTGCTCCGCTCGACTGTGGAGATGGACACCATCCAGGGCTACAACAGCTACGAGCTGAACATGAACTGCCGTGCGGGTGTGGTTGTGTATCTGAACGGTGTTGAAGTGTACCATGTGGGAGTGGAAGGAGAGGTGACTTCTGGAAGCACCTCCACGATCAATAGCAACAGCTTGAATCCTCATGTGCTCGTCGGATTGGTGGGTGCCAACTATCTGAAGGAGGGAACCAATGTGTTCGCTATTGCTGTTGTGAACAGAGATGCCACGGAGCGAGCCATTGACTTCACTGCCACTCTGAATCTGCGTGCGGCGACTGCCGATCTCGCCCATGGAACCCAGATCTCTTCCTCTGCCTCTGGCGGTACTGCTGGAAACGCTTTCAACGGAAACATCGCGAGCAAGTGGAGCGCGGAGCTGAACGGTGCCTTCCTCCAGTTCCAGTGGACGGATACGCAGTATCGTCGCCAGCAAGTGAACAAGTTCTGCCTGGTGTCCGCTGCCAACGCTCCGGGTAACGAGCCTTCTGCGTTCACTGTGTCCACTCTGAACGGAGAGAACTGGACCCCTGTGGGAACCTACACGGGTGTGTACTGGACCAAGCGTACTCAGCGCCAGTGCTTCTACCTCTCCAACCCTGTGGCCATCCAGGGCATGAAGCTCGAGTTCACCGCTGTGGCTGCGCCCGAGAGCACCACCGTGGAGCTGGTTCTGTTCGATTTCCTGGAGGAGAACACGGACAAGGTTCTTCCCGATCTCTCCTTCTCTCCTGCTGCCATCAGTGGAATTGTCAACGTCCCGATCGAGCCCATTGCTCCTGCCAATCCCTACTACGAGGAATTCTCTTCGAGCCCCGCTCTGCCCGCTGGTCTGGAATTTGGAAGCAACGGAGCGATCTACGGAACTCCCACTGAGACCGCTTCGGGTGTGTACACGATCACCGGTATCTCGATCAACGGCGAGGCCTTCAACACTACTGTGGCCATTGATATCAAGCAGTGCACTGGAGACGAGTCTCTTATGTATGTCCACATCACCGACACTGGCTCGCGTGGTTATTACATGGGATACGAATTGGTGGATCCTGTTTCGGGCACTGTGGTGGGTAGCCGCAGCGAGTTCGACAACAACGCTTTGTACATGTATCATCCCTATTGCCTGGGTCTGCGCAACTATCAGATCACTATGAAGGATTACTCGCGTGTGGCTTGGCCGGGTAGCCTTGAGATTCTGACGGCCTCCAAGAAGGTTTTGACCTCGTTCACTGTGGGTGGAAGCGTGACTCCCAAGACGGAATCGTTCTTCCCTCGAGAGGGCTACAGCGATGATTTGGATTGGCGCTATCTGATGGACAACACCGATCCTGTTTCCAACTGGTACACGAGTTCGTTCGATGGCGAGTGGCAGACCAGCAAGCTCGCCGATATGCCTGCTCCTCAGTATACTGCTGCCTACTACTGCACCACGTTCAATCTGTACTCGGCTCTGCCCTATGCCACCATGGATGTGACTGTGCACACGCGTGGAGGTTTCATTCTGTACATCGATAACGAGGAGAACGCTCGCTACAACCTGCCTCAGGGAGCTACGAACCATCTGACGCAGCCTGTGACCGAGGCGGAGGCCGCTTCGGGCATTCGCATCTCGATCGATATGAGCCACGTCTCCAACCAGAACAACGTGCTGTGCGTGGAAACCCACACGATCAGCATCCCTGAAGAGAACGAGTTCAACGTGAAAGTGGAGTTCGTGTACACTTCGACCGATCTGGTGGTGGATGGAACGATGAGCGCTTCGGATTTCGGTTATGATGATGATCAGTGGCATGAGACCAATGCCAACATTTTCGATAAGAACATTAATAACAAGTTCAACGTCATGAACGAGGATGCGATGATCGGAACGTACCACGTGTGGGCTGCCTGGACCTACAACAACAACCGCCGTGTGATCATCAACTACCTTCGCTTCTATGCTGGAAGTGAGGTTCCTCGTCGTCCCAAGCATCTGGATCTGTACGGATCGAACGATAATGGTGCGACCTGGCAGTTGTTGATGGCACAGCAGCCTACCTGGGAGAATGGTAATGGCTACGGCTACAACCGAGAGTACACGTTCACGAACACGGTGGCTTACAACATGTACAAGCTGGAGGCCTACAAGTCCAATCTGCAGGGTATCGAAATGGCCGAGGTCTACTTCGGAAACACCAAGGCTGCTGAGATTTGCGCCTTGCAGGACAACTATTCGAGCGCGTACGTGGGCAGCAAGGCGTTCATTTCCTGTCCCACTGGATACACTGGCTTCATCTATCGTAACTGCGTGTCGACGCCGACGGGCAACCAGCTGGAGGAAGAAGAGGACAACCAGTGCACGCTGCTGCTTCCCATCGCTGTGGTCTACGGCATTGACAACCAAGTGATCATCATCTACCAGAAGCAACAGTCCTTCGAGCCCACGGTCAGCGGATCGGTCGAGTCCTACAGCGTGGCTCCCGAGCTGCCTGCCGATCTGACGCTCGATCCCACCACTGGAGTGATTTCCGGAGCTTTGCAGAGCACGCAGACTGGAAACAAGTACACCATCACGGCGACCAACTCGGCTGGATCGCTGCAGACCGAGATTTCTCTCACCTCGATCGTTGTGAACTGCGAGGCCACGGCTGAGTATCTGGCCACGAACCACGGCGAGTACTCGGTGGCTGTGTGTCCTGAGTACTACACGGGTTACGCGATGGCTCGCTGCATGGGAGGCGAGTTCGAGGAGCCCAGTCTGGAGCACTGCACGCCGCGTCTGAGCGGTTTCTTCACCTACGGAGTGAACTCGATCGTGCTGAAGACGAACCAGGAACTGACCCCGATCTCTCTGCTGACGGACGGAGCGTTCCCTTCGATCTCGTGCAACAAGGATCTGCCGGAGGGTCTGGTGCTGGGTGAGGACGGAACCATCTCGGGTACGCCCACTGTGCCTTCGCCTGCTGCCAATTATGAGATTACCGGAACCAACAGCGCGGAATCCAAGTCGGTGACGATCAGCATCACGGTGGAAGATAATGGCTGCGAGGCTCTGGACGAGTTCCCTGCTGCGATGAACGGAGCGACCTCGGAGGCTGCTGTGTGTCCTGAAGGTTATTCGGGCATGGCGACGCGTGAGTGTGTCAATGGCGTGTTCCAACCCATCAACTACGAGGGATGCACGCTGCTGGCTCCTTCCAGCTTCTCCTATTCGCCCACTTCGATGAGCCGCGACTCGCTGGAAGCGATCCGCATCGAGCCCTCTGTGTCGAACAAGGTGG